ATACATACATACACACACACACATATACATACATAAATAATAATAATAATATATATATATATATATATATATATATATATATATATATAAATATATATATATATATATATATATATATATATATATATATATATATATATATCTATATATAAATATATCTATATATATATATATAAATATATCTATCTATCTATCTATCTATCTATCTATCTATCTATCTATCTATCTATCTATCTATCTATCTATCTATCTATATATATATATATATATATATATATATATATATATATATATATATATATATATATATATATATATATATACACACACACATATACACACATATAAATATACACACACACAATTTTTTTTATATTTATATATATTTTTTAATCTCAAAATTGTCTGGAAATTTCTGGGAATTACCACCACAAGATCATTTATTGGGGGGAAAAAATTGTGAAAAAATAGGAGGTCTGATTAAGTGAACAAAGAAAGAGAAAAATTACCTGGACTTTCAGCAAATTCTCCATCATGGGTCCTTTTCGGGGATGCGCCTGGTCGTTCATACTAGATAAGGTGATCCACAACATAAATACATTACATTATGATGGGATATACTCAAAGATAAACTATTAGACTCAACGCACCTTTAGAAAATATACACATTTACTAGCATGCTATTAATCTGCAATTACACAGTTGATCCCTAAATGCACCCTAAAAAAATATGTCACAGTTACCTAGTCAAAGGTGAATAATAAGTGATTAGTATATGTAAATAGCCATACCGTGAGCCTCATTCACCATTGTTTCCTCATTCTCATGTAAACTATGCAAGTATATAGCCAATCAGAACACAAAGCAGACTCACGGCCCCGTCCTCATCATTCTCATGTATTTTACTTTACGTTCTACATCATCTGAACCAGACGAGCTGTAGCATCATCAGGAAATCAGCAGTCGAAACACAGACTGATATGATGTTCTGGAATCATTAAGCATGCCCCAGACTGCTTTTAGAGACTTCAACAATGACAATTTTCTCCATAATTTTTAAGTGCATCAAACTTCATATCAAACTTACTATCTACGTGGGACTTTTATTTTGAAAATGGAGATGCAGCAAAGCCAAAATAAGCCAGGCGCATTATGTTTTCTATGTTACTAAGCAATGATTTCAGCTCATCAGAGCACAAAATGTGAAATATACAGAGTATAAATCTAATCAGCGCCAACCTGAAGATGCATAAGGTGCGTTTAGCTGTTAATTTAACCAAGTTTATTGTGAAATGTGTTGGATATGTTTGTAATCTGAGGTAACAAACAGATGTAGACTTCCATATAGAGTACTGCGTTTAATGATAGTGTCTTATGACCAATTGACCAATCAGAAGACGCCTTTCTATCAATATCCCCGCCTTTCCAGTAGGTGCTGTTCTGCTATTGGATGGAGCAACCCAAAGGTGAATCTTGAGGTTATAATTAAATGCTAATGGCGGGAATCGAGACGAGATGAAAATGACATCAGCGAAAATAAAATAAAAAATTCAGTCATTCGTAGAATTTAGAAGTCTAAATGTTTGCATCTTGATTTTTTGATATGATGAATTCAATTAGATCAAAAGAATGTACATTTTCTGCTCATTTTAGTATGATCATTACATTCAAAGTTACTGAAATTAGACAGCTAATAAAAACAGCATTTCTGCAGTTACTTCACAGGGAAAATGGTCATCACACATTAAGGCTCACCGCGGCTCCAGACGAAGGCTGCACAATCCAGGCGTAATCAGGACTAACGAGACGCAGGCAGTTTAGAGCGGCCAGGTAACAGTTCACCTGCTTCTGAAGCCCTCGAAGAGTTCGCACTTCCCGACCCAGACGCATACCATACTCAAACATCACCGTACCCGCTAAAACACACACACACACGCACACGCACACGCACACAATATCAATGACTTATACTTTACTTTAAGATAAACTGATATGCTTTTCTAAATGTTTGTAAGAATTGTTTTGAGTATCTGCAATTGGTTTACAAGGTATAAAAAAAAAAAATGTTCTCATAATAAACACTGCATAGATTTTTTTTTAATGGTCATTTTCAAAATGTAAGCGCATCTTGGCATTTACACCAAGCTTTGTGTTGTGCAATAATACAAACTGCACATTTAAATAGGTGGATCTATGTTTACATTTACTGACAGCTACATCACACACAACATAACAAAAGAATAACGGGTAGGGATGCAACGATTACAGATTTTAGTTGTGCGATTATAGACTGAGGAATAATCACGGTTATCACGATTATTATGCATTCATTCATTTTAAAACACTGCTAGCTTAGAAAATCACAAGGAAACTACATTTATTTTAAGTGTTATTTATTGCTGCTCAGTAACCGAATAATACGACACAAAATAATAATAAAAAACAAACAATAGTCCAATTCTCTTTGGACTTAAAAATAAGTGAAAAAAGTTTTGGCATTTAAACATAAGTAAAAATTTTACACTGAAAATAAAGGTCAATGAAAAAAAATTAAATAAAATGTAAATAAATAAATTTAAAATAATAAAAATTTATTAATACATTTTAAATAAATAAAATAAATAAAAAATACAATTTCTTTATTAAAGTAATATAAATTTTAATCAATTAAAATAAATAAATTAATTACATGTAAATAAATGAAAAATAAATGAAAATGTAAATATAAAATATTAAATTTAAATAAATGAATTTAAAATAAATTAATAAATAAATTTAAAATAAAAAATAAAATAAATTAAATAATAATAAATTAAAATTAATCTAAAAAAATCAGTAAATAAATGAATATATGAAGTAGTAGTATTTGTCTAATGGTAATCCAAGTTAAATAATAGCTAAGTATTTCCCTTTTACATTTATGAAATGTATTCAAAGGCAGCTGAACCTCTGTCTGAAAGGCTTTTGATCAACTATATAACACAATTGTTTAGTAATTTTCATTTGTATTTTTTTTCTCAGTGTAGGGCACTGGCGGCATTCTTTCAACTAGAATGTGCGTCTGGAAAGCACGAGTCTGTCGCTCTATTATGCAAGCACAAGATGCGATACGTGACTAGTTAATAGCCTCAGCCATAGTTAATCCGGTGTGCATGGTGTACAAGCTCGGAACTTCAAACTAGCACTCAGTTGGCATAACTTTAAGTTGCAGCAGTTTTGTTCCATGCAGAAACGCGGTGTTGAGAAGCCTTCACCTTTAAATAATCGTGACGAATTAAAGCACGGTTAATAGTAAAACGGTTAATCGTTGCATCACTAAACAGGGGCAACCTGAAACGTCCCTGTAACACTGAGAATGAGTTTTACCTTTTCTATAGTTGTGCCGATTGATGTGAAAAGCGTACAGAAGCTCGTAGTAGTTGTGTGTCATGAGGTCCACGGCTCTCGCTCGAGACTCAATAATGCTGACAACCTAAAGAACACAAGCACAAAACACAAGAGTATGAAGGCTCATATAGGATTTTACCGCGGTGCTGACAAGATATTCAATTAGGCTCAATTTAATTGTTCATAGGTGATGGGTCAAAGAGGTGTTGTAAATAAAGTGCATCTGCAACTTCTTTATAGCGCTTCACTTTCCACATTATTTTTTTTTTGTCAAAGCCTTTCCAAAATGGATTAAATTCATTTATTTCCTCAAATTTCTACACACAATCCCCCATAATGACAATATGAAAAGAGTGTTTGAAATGGTTGCAAATATATTAAAAATAAAAAAAGCTGAAAAATCTCATGTACATCAGCATTCACAGCCTTTGCTCAATACTTTGTTGATGCACCTTTGGCAGTGATTACAGCCTCAAGTCTTTGTGAATATGATGGCACAAGCTTGGCACGCCTGTCTTTGGGAGTTTGTGCCCATTCCTCTTTGCAGTACCTCTCAAGCTCTATCAGGTTGGATGGGAAGCGACGGTGTGCAGCCATTTTCAGATCTCTCCAGAGATGTTTAATAGGATTTAGGTCTGGGCTCTGGCTGGGCCACTCAAGGACATTCACAAAGTTGTTCTGAAGCCACTCTATTGATATTTTGGCAGTGTGCTTTGGGTCATTGTCCTGCCAGAAGATGAATGGACGCCTCAATCCGAGGTCAAGAGCACTCTGAAGCAGGTCTTCATTCAGGATGTCTCTGTCCGTTGCTGCATTCATCTTTCCCTCTATCCTGACTAGTCTTCCAGTTCCTGCTGCTGAAACACATCCCCACAGCATGATGCCAACACCACCATGCTTCATTTTAGGGATGCTATTAGCCTGCTGATGAGCGCTGCCTGCTTTTCTCCAAACATAAAACCTGGCATTCACTCCAAAGAGTTCAATTTGAGTCTCATCAGACCAGAGGATTTTGTTTCTTATGGTCTGAGAGTCCTTCGGATGCCTTCTGGCAAATTCCAGGCGTGGAGTGTCGTCCGTCTGGCCACTCTACCATACAGGCCTGATTGGTGGATTGCTGCACAGATGGTTGTCCTTCTGTAAGGTGCTCCTTTCTCCACAGAAGAACCCCTCTTCCCTGATCACTCAGCTTAGATGGTTGGCCAGCTCTAGGAAGAGTCCTGGTGGTTCCAAACATCTTTCACTTCAGATGATGGAGGTCGCTGTGCTCATTGGAACTTTATGAGCCCCAGAAATGTTTCTGTAAACTTTCCCAGCCTTGTGCCTCGAGACAATCCCTGCTCGGAGGTCTACAGACAGTTCCTTTGTCTTCACGCTTGGTTTGTGCTTTGACATGCACTGTCAACCCTGGGCCCTAATATAGACAGGTGTACGCCTTTTCAAATCACGTCTAATCAGCTGAATTGATCACAGGTGAACTCCAATACAGCTGCTGAAACATCTCAAGAATGATCAGTGACAACAGAATGAACCTGAGCTCAATTTAGAGCTTCACCCTGAACGCTGTGAATACTGATGTACATCTGACTTTTTGATCTCTAAAAATCAATTTTTTATATATATATATAAACCAAGGCAGATGACTGATTAGGTATTCTGGCCTACCTCGTCATGCAAATTAACATATGTGAACTGGACGAGATCTCGGAGTTGTGCGCGTTCACACAGAACCACCACCAGCTGCCGGAGACAATCCAGCTGCCTGTAGAAACACACACAGTTCAAGCATTTTCACATCAAACCGTGTAGAGGAGAGTGAACAGAGCACACACACCTGCTAGAATCCGGGTTTTGCGTCAGGGCTTCATACGCCTGACTGTTGTGTCCGAGATCCAGATGATGCTTGAAGATACGAGTCCACAGAGCAGCCTACAAAACAGAAGAGACCATCAGCTCAAAACTCACCTGTTCCTTCAATTTTCATGGCATATTGTGGTGGAATAAAATGATTTATTAATGCGCTTCATTTTTAAAAACTAACGTTCCTTCATCATCTGTAATCAAAATAACCTTCACTCTAACAACAACAGGAGTGAGGGCGGGATCAAACTGCCAATCATGAGAGCTAATCAATTCACCAGGAACAAAAATCAGGCCCCGCCCACCATTAGTTCTCTTTTCAGAAGCCGTTTAATTAACAAATAATTCACAAATTGGGAGAAAAGAACGATTTTGAGCTGACTTTAACCCTTTATAGGGCTCACATTTAAATATTCATTACAAAAAGAAGAAAAAAAAACACGCTACTGAGGACTAGACTTTTGCACATTTATGAGAAATACATGAGAACACAACAAATAATGGTTGGAAACATTAATAATAAAATTATTCACCAATTTCTGGGGATTTCAGGTTACCTAGTGAGACAACATACTTTACACTAGGTGTAGAAATTGCAATATTTGTCCATTTAATTCTAGAAAATTAGCAGGGGAAAATGGCAGATTTCCAGGATCAATTAAAGAAAGAAAACAAAACTTAACGAGTTTTAAAAAAATGCATTTTTTGCATATATTAATTAGCCTGTCTTAATGCATTTATTAGGATTATTTTAGTATTAATTAGGAGCTACTGTTTGCACATACCTTAAAATTATTAAAATGATATAGTGATTTTTATCATCAGCTGTTTATTTTCAAGGTGTATGTGATACTGGTTATTTTGTACAATTTGTCAAAATAAACAAATAAATAAACATAAATAATAATAATAATAATAAAATAATAATAATTTAAATAAATTATCAATAAATTAAAATAAAAATAAATAACAAAAATAAAAAATAAAAATAACTAAATATAAATAATAATATAAATTAAATAAATAAAAATTATAAAAATTATTATAATTATTATTAAATAAAAAAATATATAAATAATAACTTAAATAATAATAATAATAATAATAATAATAATAATAATAATAATAATAATAATAAATTGTTAAATAAAAAAAAATACTTAAATAAAAAAATAATTATCAAATAAGAATAAAATAATAAATTAATATCAATAATAATTAAATAAAAATAATAATTAATAAATAATTAAAAATACAAATAAACATGATGCTGTTACCTGGCTTCTCTTGTCATCGGTGGCTTCAGAAACGGCCAGCGTTGCCAATTCAATCACAAGCTCCGGCAACCCAATATCCTCCAATAACCGCAGGACCTGTAAGAATAAAACACCATGCATAATTACACCCCCATTCAGATGCTGCAGAATTAAGTGCATCTAGAACAGCAGACTTTCCTTGTTGTAGTAAAGCAATCGTGGAGCGGTCGCCGTTTCTTCATCTGAACCTGTGAGCTTCATTAAAAACTCTTCTTTATTCACCTCAGTCGCAGCTTCCTGGAAACACTGCAATGCCTGAAAACACAAAGTTCACTTCACAACGTCTTTCTGCTTCTAGAAAAATGTATCCTGAAATTCATTATGATAACAGTCATCAAAATGATCACAGTAATGCATATACACTATATAGATAAAATATAAGGTCAATATTACCCCCTTTAAGCTATATATTTTTTCAGTAGTCTACAAAACAAACCATCGTTATACAATAACTTGCCTAATTACCCTAACCTGCCTAGTTAACCTAGTTAATTTAGTTAAGTCTTTAAATGTCACTTTAAGCTGTATAGAAGTGTCTTGAAAAATATCTAGTCTAATATTATTTACTGTCATCATGGCAAATATAAAACAAATCAGTTATTAGAAATGAGTTATTAAAACTATTATGTTTAGAAATGTGTTGAAACAAGTCTATTTTTATTATTATTATTACATTTTAGCTTTTGGAATAAGTTAATATGGAAAGTTAAAGCAAACATTTTAAACAAGCTTTTAATAGTTTTTATTTATTTATTTATTTATATTTCAAGTAATAAAAATCAGCTATAGGTAACTACATAACTTTGAACTTGTAGTAAATAGTAATTTGGTTCATCCAACCAACCATTATTTAAAAAAAATTATATTCAGTCATCAATAATTAATATTATTATTTTAATGTTTATGCTTATCAAATATCCATAGTGCTGAAAATTATACATATATACACATGGCATATACACATATATACACACACATGCATACATACATACATACATACATACATACATACATACATACATACATACATATATATAAATACATAAATACATACATACATAACTGATCATTTATATTTCAATACCCTATTTGAATTTATGACCTTTCAGTTTTATTCAACTAACCAATGCCTTTTCTATTTTTCTATTTTTTGCTTTTTCTCATTTTTATCTAGAGTCTTAAATGCAAGCTTTTATTATTATTATTATTATTTAAATTCCCCGAGACTCAAAATCCTGCCTTTACAATGTCATATATAAGACAGGATTCCTACGCTTTCACAAACAGCACATTCAAATACTTTCAATGACTTTAAAGCACCCTTCATTTCAAAACAAGCATCTTTGTGCTTATGAGCATATGTAGCGCGGTGACCGTCCTAAATGTACTCAACATTTCACTTTTCATTACACTTAAAATTAAAATGTACATTAAAAAGTTCAGACTAATTTTCAAAAACTGACCGTCTTAACCAGTGAAAAGCAATGAATTCAATACCTTAACTGATGAAACTTGAATGCGGTTTCTGAAATATTGATCAAATGAGCATTGTTTGTCCGTTTTTTTGTATAATTTTGTAATTTGTTATAATTTTGAAGATTTCAGTTTAATCATTTCTCAGTTTATTCCTTCTGTTTTTGACATTTGAGTACAGTTGAAATAAAACCATGAACTAAATTAACTTAAAATGTAATTTGAGGACCTACGTTTGCTTTTTAGTACTTTAGGCCTTGAGCTTATATGTCAGAAATGTGAGTGCTTTCATAAAGCATGGCAAGCCTGAAAACATCTATTATTATTTCAGCCAAATGCACAGATTTTCTTACCTTTTGCCCCTCACCGCTGGCCAGATAACACTGACCCAACACAAAACGGTAAGACCCCACGTTCACCTGACACCAGGGCCCGACTAACCGCACATATTCCTGCACACACACACACACACACACACACACACACACACGCACACGCACACGCACACGCACACCTTTTAAACAACACTGGGAAAAGTAACTGTTTTACATGCATTTATTTCAGTCTAATCAATTCCACATTATAAGGCATACATATTACACACAGCAAATCCTCCAGCACAGTTAGATATTAAATATGAACTCGTATAATATAAGGTATATTTAATACATCTCATCCTGGCGTCTCACCTGGAGCTGTGCGTACTGGCAGTTTCCCATCAGGCATTCGGGAAAGAGGAAACTGGGATTGCTGGGCCAGCTGGGGAAATGACTCAAGGCAAACACACTGATCTCTCATAAACGACACAACACACAGACGAACTGCGCAAAAATACAGAGGAACTGCTGGTGTTCAGAGAATTAAGTGCTACAGCAGTAGTGTCTGGTGCACATAGAGGGGAAAGTGTTTCTACAGGTGGTTTGTCGGTCCCACTCGCCTCACACTTACTCACATTACTATGAAGACCTGGAAACCAGCTGAAAATGTGTACAATCTAAATGTTATTGATTTTTGGGTGAACTATCCCTCTTTAGGTGAAGGATACAGAGCCTGGCAGAGCAGCGTCAGGACACTGGAGATCATCTGAGGCCAGTGTAAGACGCTCTGATCGCTCTCCATGTCCTGCTGGGAGAAGATCTGAGACATGATGGTTTTACGGGCCACGCTCTGGTAGAACAACTCCACCACGGTCTGAGGATTCAACACTGAAATCCAGAGAGAGAAACAACACTGTCAGCGACATTTATTAACTCTTAACACCCTGTGTGTGTGTGTGTGTGTGTGTGTGTGTGTGTGTGTGTGTGTGTGTGTGTGTGTGTGTGTGTGTGTGTGTGTGTGTGTGTGTATACTGTGGCCATGAATATGCACCTGATCTGCTGGACGCAGGAGTGGAGGAGTCGGAGAGCTCCAGAACTGAGAGATGCTGAAGATCTGCATTTCTGAAGAGACGCACAGATAATACACACCTTTAGATTAGTGCTGGGTGTCAATATATATACATAATATATGCGTGTCCGTGCTGCACGAGCTATTTATTGTGTATAAATTAATACACATATGCAGCATATTATTTAGAAACAGTTTCTAAACGTAGATATAAAATATATGCATATAATAAAAATGATATATAAATGCAAATATTTATGTTAATATCATTTTAAAAATAAAGGCATATATTTTTTGTATACTTTTGTTTCTATGTACAAGTGTGTATTAGAAAATAACGACAGAACGATAAAACAATGGGTAGAATGACTGATAGTTAGAACGATAGAATGATAGAATGATAGATAGAACAAATGAAAGAACGATAGGACGGACGGACGGACGGACGGAGCGATGGAAGGATAGATAGATAGAACGATATAGATAAATGGATGGAACGATGGAAGGATAGATAGATGGAACGATTGATAGATGGATGGAACGATGGAAGGATAGATAGATGGAACGATTGATAGATAGGTGGATAGATAGATAGATAGAACGATAGATGGAGAGATAGATAGAGCGATGGAAGGATAGATAGAACGATATAGATAGATGGATGGAACGATGGAAGGATAGATAGATGGATGGAATGATTGATAGATAGAACGATAGATGGATAGGTGGATGGATACATAGATAGATAGATAGATAGATACATAGATAGATAGATAGATAGATAGATAGATAGATAGATAGATAGATAGATAGATAGATAGATAGATAGATAGATAGATAGATAGATAGATAGATAGATAGATAGATAGATAGAAAGATAGATAGAACGATAGATGGAGAGATAGAAAGGTAGATGGATGGATGGATGGATGGATGGAACGATGGATAGATAGAGCGATGGAAGGATAGATAGAACGATATAGATAGATGGATGGATGGAACGATGGAAGGATAGATAGATGGAACGATTGATAGAACGATAGATGGATAGGTGGATGGATGGATACATAGATAGATAGATAGATAGATAGATAGATAGATAGATAGATAGATAGATAGATAGATACATAGATAGATAGATAGATAGATAGATAGATAGATAGATAGATAGATAGATAGATACATAGATAGATAGATAGATAGATAGATAGATAGATAGATAGATAGATAGATAGATAGATAGATAGATAGATAGATAGATAGATAGATAGATACATAGATAGATAGATAGATAGATAGATAGATAGATAGATAGATAGATAGATAGATAGATAGATAGATAGATAGATAGATACATAGATAGATAGATAGATAGATAGATAGATAGATAGAACGATAGATGGAGAGATAGAAAGGTAGATGGATGGATGGATGGAACGATGGATAGATAGAGCGATGGAAGGATAGATAGAACGATATAGATAGATGGATGGATGGAACGATGGAAGGATAGATAGATGGATGGAACGATAGATAGATAGAACGATAGATAGAACGATAGATGGAGAGATAGAAAGGTAGATGGATGGATGGATGGAACGATGGATAGATAGAGCGATGGAAGGATAGATAGAACGATATAGATAGATGGATGGATGGAACGATGGAAGGATAGATAGATGGATGGAACGATAGATAGATAGAACGATAGAACGATAGATAGAACGATAGATGGAGAGATAGAAAGGTAGATGGATAGATAGAGCGATGGAAGAATAGATAGATAGAACGATATAGATAGATGGAACGATGGAAGGATAGATAGATGGATGGAACGATTGATAGATAGAACGATAGATGGATAGGTGGATGGATGGCTATAGATAGAACAATAGAAGGATAGGTAGATAGGTAGATGGATGGATAGATGGAACGATGGATGGATGGATAGATAGATAGATAGATAGATAGATAGATGGATGGAAGGATGGATACATAAATAGAACGATAGACGGACGGACAGACAGACGAAAAGATAGATAAAAAGAGCAATATATGGACAGACAGATAAACAGACGGACGGACAGACATCTGGCCCATTACTATAGACTTAACTGATGGATATCTTTGCTTAAAGGGTCTGAACTCACAGTATGTCTAGTGGGACAGATGAGGAGAGCGTCAGGCTCATCTGTTTGAGCAGGTGATAAGTGCAAAGCAGATTCGAGCATCGAGGAATCAAGTCCTGCTGGAGCTGCAGCAACTGAGGACCGCCGGAAATAAACGCCTGCAGACAAAATATTGAAAAACTCTGAAAACACTTTTTTTTCCTCCACTTAAATTCTTTACTTTTTTCAAGCTAGAGGAAAAGACCAGGGAACACCAGAGTTTCAGGCTAAAATCCACAAAGGAATGAACACACATAAACAGCACCATGAACATTATCAAGCACAGTTCAGTATTATCGCTTTTATTGTGTCACTCAAGTCTCATTTCTCTCCAGAACATCATAGACTGGTTATCACATCACGCTCCAAACACGAATTGGATTAATGCATTAACGAATTGTGTGTGTTTACAAACTGGATTGTGTAAATGTGAATTGTGTATGAATTTTTTGTTTTGTAAATGTATTGTTTTTGAGACTAATCTGGCTCCATATTCAATAGCACCCACAATTGTAGAATCAGCCACATGCTAAGTGTGCGCGTGTGTGTGTGCATACTCACATTTTCTCCGATGCGCAGGTAGAGCTGCTGCAGGATGAGCAGGTCTCTGCAGAGCAGCGTTCGGGTCATGGCGGTCTGACAAACGGCCTGACAGATCAGACTAGCAGCGACGCTGCTGCCGTACAGCTGAGACAGACTGATGCGCACTCGCAGAGACTGACCTGAAACACACACCACAAAACAAAAACACGAGCAGATTCAACAAACTCCCAATCAAAATTGAAACCGATTTGAGTCAAAGGGGAGCTAATAAGTAAAAAACAGCTCAGCTCTTATTAAACAGGTGTATAAGTTTACCTGCGTGTCTGGCGTCAGGCTCGGCGTCAGTCTCCAGGTCCAGCTCTCGGAGCAGCATGTTCATGGCAGCGATGGGGTTATAGATGTCCTGCAGTTTGTTTGCAATGTCGCCAATCACGTTCCCACTGAGGAAAACACTTCACTTTAGCCTTCACCCTGATCAACAGCTGGCGGAAATGCATTCAGTAAGTGATAGAGGATTCCCACTTTAAACCAAATGACTTTGACTGACTAAAAGCTGAATTTCCATCACTTATGAGCACTGAGCAGACAAACAGGAAACTATATATTAGCGTATTTTCACGTCACGGCTGTTTAGGACAGGAAGTTCAATTGAATTGCATGATTTCATTCAAGAGGCCTGTTAATGCTGGGCAAAGATTAATCGCAACCTAAATAAGCTTGCTTTGACATGAGATGTATACATGTATGTGTGTGTGTGGTGATCAGTGCATATGTATTATGTTTATAAGTGCACACATGCATGCAAATATGAAAATGTTTATTTATAAATAATTTTTCATTTATATAATACAAATGGTTTATAAATGTTACGATCTATGCGAAAAGACTGTTTTGTTTTTATGTATGTGTTTGTATTACATGTACATAATAATATATATAGCACAAACACATATCGGAGGTCAAAACAAACTTTTTTTGTATGCGATTATTAATTAGACAATCTAATTAGCTGTATTTTCAATTTGATCAGTGACCATTTATGAATCCTAATACATGCTACGCACGCACATACTCTTACACACACACACACACACACACACACGCACACGCACAAACACGTGCATAAAAAAAGCATACAAACAAAAACACACAACACGCTCGCGCACACAACTGCATACACAAACATACACGCGCACACACAGAAACGCACACACACACACAAATAAACGCAAACACTAACAAACATACAAACAAGCGCATAAAAAGCATACAAACACAATACGCGTGCACACACAACCTTGCACATAACCGCATACGCAAACACACAAACAAACACAGACACACACAAACGCGCACACACAAACAAAACAAATAAACACTCACAAATACAAACACACAAACACAAACACAAGCGCATAAAACTCAGACAAGCAAAAACAAACACAACGTGCACACAAACAACCATGCACAACAGCATACACACACACAAACAAACACACACACAAATACAAACAGACACACACAAACAGACACAAAAATTAGAGCATAAAAATCATACAAACACAACGCGCGCACACAATCACATACACAAACACAACACACAAAGCAGACACACAAACGCACACGTTCACACACACAAACAGAAAAACACAAACACACAAAAACACACACAACCCAGCGTGCAGACACAATCGCGCGCGCGCGCACACACACACAAGTGCAAACAAACACACATTCACACACACACACACACACACACACTAAGACAAACACAATAAACACACAAAAACACACACAACCAAGCATGCACACACACAAACAAGTGTGCGCGCACACACACACACACACACGTAATAGACAAATGACATTGATAAATGTAAAGTAAAATGTTTAAACAGAGCACAAATCCCTCTATCCTGACGTTCCATGTCTGTAATAGACTCTTAATGAATAAGAGTCTCAGGGAATAAACCCTCTCTGCTGATACTGACGTGTCATTGGCCAAAAGGCTCTCCAGGATCTTCTCGGACACTTTCTCCGGGGACAGCAGCTCGTCCAGGGCTTTGTCCATCTCGTAGGCCATTTCTTCTGGAAGAGACTCGTTCACCAGACGCAGACACTGAACCAGCTGCAGGACATCCCGGCTCACTTCTGCATCTGAGGAAAATCATGTGAAAAATAATCAACCATTGATCAACTCACAAGCCGATATTGACTTAGAGATATATTTGATGCAGCACTAATGAGTAATTCCGATCAATAATGAAATCTCTCTGATAAACATGGTCGTCTCACCCTCAGCAATAGGAGTCTCCTCTTCAGAAAACAAGTATTCATCGGAGGACAGGTACAGGTGGTCCACAGCAAAGCAGGGCAACAAGAAAGACACGAAGCCCTGGAAAAGAGGAATAAAAACAAACAGGTGACCAAGAATAACATAAACAAACACCACAATTAATCACTCACACAAAATAACATGTTAAAAAAGAAGCTCGGAGTCTTGTGGCGCAGTTACCTTCTTGAGGACGCAGATCATGCCGGTGGAGGGGCTGACGTGCAGGGCGAGAGGTGTGGACAGGACGTCCTGGTACTGCAGACAGCAGGCGTAAAACTTGGACCAAAACTCCACCTGGAGCAGACGATAATCCTCCTGACAGAACTCGTACTCCGTCACACTGCCCTGAAGCTGAACACACACACACACACTTTACCCATTTAATGTCATGTCAGCAATAGTCAAACCACAACAAAATCAGCCAAACGGTCCGATTTTGATCAAATATTTAGAAAAAGTCACAAGTTGTCCTCTTAAAAATGATTAATATGCATAAACACAAGAGCTGTGAACCTACACTAGTCTCACGGTTTGGTTACGATTATCATGCCATCGATTCGGTTCAATTCGATATTTCGGTGCATTGACGGTGCATTGACGGTGCTTTTCATACTCAGTTTTATATTTTCTTCACAGCAGCATTTCTTGTATTAAAACGTATGAATATATTTAGATTCATATATTATTTGTGATACAATTTTGTCATTTAATACAAACAGTCAGAAATATAAACTGTACCTTTAAACAAAACGAGCATTTAGCAAATAATGAACAATTATAATTATCCAGCTCAATTTCTGATCCTTGTCTAGTTCTCTTACACCTCTTTGATTGGTCACACCCTCAACAAAAACGATTGCGATTTGCTCTTGCGCGCTGCGCTCTTCACAGATGAGTGACACTGATAAGCGGCAGCGGCGATCTCACAGCTGATGTATGATAGACACGGTGAAGAAAACTCTGCAGACACGCTCTTGTTTCTTTATCCAGAAGTAACGCTGTAAAACAGCCCAGAGGTGAAGGAAAGCCACGCCAGCAGGTCAAATGGGAAACTGTGCGTGCGTGTGTGTGTGTGTGTGAGAGAGAGAGAGAGAGAGAGAGAGAAAGAGAGAGAGAGAAATGGAGTAGGCTACTTTCATTCTCTCGATCTCAGTGAAATAGGGGCTTTTGTTGTATATGTCAGTGAAAGACTGATCCAGCAAACACACACAGTGAAATTGTGCAAAATTTATGAGTTTTGAGTAGTTAGAGCGTTGTAAATACTCCCGATCGCCTCCCTCGCGACAGAGCTCATATGAGGTAAATGGCGTCAGTAATAACCGGTTATGATTATTACTGAACCGATACCGAATTGTCCGCGTCTGCATCGCGGTGCAACAAAGAAACAATTAATTTTGACACCCCTAATAAACACGCAGATATGGAATCAATGTTTAGCTGCAAAACAGCAGAAATGAACACGAGGCGGTAAACATGAGTGATTTACCTCGCTTTCCACTGTGACCGTGACCTCTTTCTTCAGCTCCTCCCATGATAGATCCGAATATCGTTCTGGACCTCGCTTATAAATCTGGAAAAAGAAAATGAATCATCAAATATATGACAAACAATTTTGAAAATGTATCAGAATGTCAGTAGGAGCGTGCTGAAACTTTGATTTATAAAAAAAAATAATGGGATTTCTTGTTTCCCCAATGACAATGAACACAATGTGTTGCTGAGTGTTTTTGTGCTGGTGTCTCCAGCTAGTTTTGTTTTGTCGTGGAAAAATAAATGACACCCAAGAAATGTTTTCTAATAGACAACCTAACCACATCTAAAAGACATCCAAAAGACGTGTAATAGACATGAAAAAACATCCAATAGACATATAAACATAGATTAACATGGACTTAGTTAAAACAAGGATAAATTTGGGCTGTCGGTGAAAGTCTTATAGACATCCAAATGACATCCAAAGGACATCAAAAAGACATCCAAAGGACATCAAAAAGACATGCAAAAGGCATCCAATGGACAGAAAAAAAGAAAAACCAATAGACATCCACAGGACATCCAAAGGAAATCAATAAGACATCCAATAGGCATCCAAAGGACATCCAAAAGTCACCCAGTCGACACCAAAAAGTCATCCGATAGACATCCAAAGGACATTAAAAAAAAAAAACGCAATGGACATCCAAAAGTCATCTAATCGACATCCTAAAGACATCCAAAAGTCATCCAATAGACACCCTATAGACATACAACAGACCTCCTAAAGACATCCAAAAGACATCCTAAAGACATCCAATGGACATCCAAAAGTCACTCAATCGACGTCCAAAGGACATCCGATGGACATCCAATGGACATCTAAAAAAACCCCAATGGACATCCAAAAGTCATCTAATTAACATCCAAAAGTCATCCTAAAGACATCCAAAACACATCCTATAGACATCCTAAAGACAGCCAAAGGACATCCAATAGGCATCAAAAAGACATCAAAAAGACATCCAAAAGACATCCAATAGTCATCCTAAAGACATCCAATAGACATCCTAAAGACAGCCAAAGGACATCCAATAGGCATCCTAAAGACATCCAAAAGACATCCTAAAGACAGCCAAAGGACATCCAATGGACATCCAAAAGACATCCAAAAGACATCCAATAGGCATCCTAAAGACATCCAATAGGCATCCTAAAGACATCCAATAGGCATCCTAAAGACATCCAAAAGACATCCAATAGACATCCTAAAGACATCCAATAGGCATCCTAAAGACATCCAATAGACATCCAATAGACATCTAATCGACATCCTAAAGACATCCAAAAGTCATCCAATAGACACCCTATAGACATACAACAGACCTCCTAAAGACATCCAAAAGACATCCTAAAGACATCCAATGGACATCCAAAAGTCACTCAATCGACGTCCAAAGGACATCCGATGGACATCCAATGGACATCTAAAAAAACCCCAATGGACATCCAAAAGTCATCTAATTAACATCCAAAAGTCATCCTAAAGACATCCAAAACACATCCTATAGACATCCTAAAGACAGCCAAAGGACATCCAATAGGCATCAAAAAGACATCCAAAAGACATCCAATAGTCATCCTAAAGACATCCAATAGACATCCTAAAGACAGCCAAAGGACATCCAATAGGCATCCTAAAGACATCCAAAAGACATCCTAAAGACAGCCAAAGGACATCCAATGGACATCCAATAGGCATCCTAAAGACATCCAAAAGACATCCAAAAGACATCCAAAAGACATCCAAAAGACATCCAAAAGACATCCAATAGACATCCAAAAGACATCCAATAGACATCCAAAAGACATCCAATAGGCATCCTAAAGACATCCAAAAGACATCCAATAGACATCCAATAGGCATCCTAAAGACATCCAATAGACATCCAAAAGACATCCAATAGACATCCAAAAGACATCCAATAGGCATCCTAAAGACATCCAAAAGACATCCAATAGACATCCTAAAGACATCCAATAGACAAATAAACATAGATGGCCAAGATATAAAAAATAAGGCTAAATTTGGGCTGTCAGTTAGTCTAAAAGACATCTTAAAATAGCTCAAAACTAAACTTGTATGGTTGGATGGACGGACATGTGAAGTCTGTCTATTCTGCGAATTTGAAGACTAGTCACGTTTTAGGCTATAATTAGACATCTTGTTAGGCATCAATTAGTCTTGTTTTAGCCAAGCCGTCTATATTTAGATGTCTATTAAACTCAAAATTGCTTGTTGGGGAAACCCTCAATAACTGGCACGAAGCAAAGTAAAATGAAGCGAGCAGATTTGTACCTGTAAAGCTTTGATGATGGCCGAGGCTGTGAAGCGTAGCGGTGAAAAAAGCACGTCCAGATATATCTCCTGTGAACAGACAACAGTTTAAGGCAAGACGATAACAGCAGAGAGTCTCTGCAGGTTACTTCAAGTCAAATTTAAGACTTTAAGACGATTATGAATGAAATTTAAGACTTATACAAGACTAAACACTAAAGATTTTTTCCTAATGGCCCAGTTACTTTTGTGAATCTATAATAATGGAAGTTCGTTTAGAGGGAAGTGTTGCTTTAGTTGTCCTTCCCTGATTTGGGAAATTAATTAGGAGAATTTGCATATTTACTATTTAAATTAATTTTAAGACTTACAACACAATATTTCAGTGAATTTAAGACTTTTTAAGAACCAGCGGACACCCTGTTTTGACGGCATCGGGTATCGGTATTTTTACCCGAGGATCTTGGTCTTCTCCGATGTGAACTTCTTCCTCTGGCGACGGCTGGACGAACACCTGGTTCCACATGCCTGTAGTGTTACTGCAGTTTAAAAAACAAGTGCCAATGTTAATATAGAGTGTTTTCGCTGCGATACGGATATTGCATAAACTATTATCATGATATTGTGTATATATAAAAAAACAAACTCTGTAGTACTCACTGCTCAAAGCTGATGTACTTCGCCACCGTCTGGTTGTCGTTATCCAGCCACAGAGCCCAAATATCAGTTGCCGTCAAGACAAAATCCACCAGCGTCTCCTGTTTCACACAAACACACACTGATGATGAGCACAGCTCCGTCAGTCGCCTGAACGAGGTTTACTGCACGTTGCTCCAGTACCTGTGTGGAGAACAGCGTGGAGATGTGGTCCAGGCTGTAGCGGCTGCTCTCATTGGCCACCAGCTGCAGCACACAGAACTGGCTGCGTTTGGGGACAGAGAGGTAGACGGCGACGCACAGACCGGTGGAGGAGGAGAAGAAGAGTCGCAGTTTATGAGCCTGGGCCGGAGACGCCTTCACTTCCCCTCGACCCACAGGCAGAAACTCCAGCATATCGGTGACCAGCACACACATCTGATGCTGAAACAACACACACACACACACACACACATCAGGGGATTTCATATCGTATTAATCTTCTGGAGATAGAATTATTCTAGTTTGACTGGAACACTTTATAGTCAATATTATTAGCAACCTGGGAAGAATAAGTATTAAACAATCACCATTTTTCTCAGAAAACATATTTCTAAAGATGCTGCTGACTTGAAACTTTTCCCGGATGTTGGAAACAACAAAAGAAATCCATACGTGCAAAGAAAGCAAATCTAATTGGTTTACAAATGAAGTTATGCATAATAAAATTAATTGACGCAGGGAAAAAGGTATTGAACACATGAAGGAAGGAAGGCAGTTAAAGCCCAGACAGCAGCTGAAATCTCTCAGTAGTTCTTCAGCACCCCTCTGCCCATCCTCAGTGTAAATAGATATCAGTTGGACAGTTAAGCAAGACAATGATTCAAAACACAGCCAAGGAAACTCTTAAAGGGTTTCAGAGAAAGAAAATCAAGCTGTAGAATGGCCCAGTCAATTACCTGATCTGAATCCAATGAAAAATACAAAATAAAGCTCAGATTTAATAGACGAGACCCACAGAACAATGTGGCCTCTTAGGACCATGTGATATTTCAGTTTTTTCTCTTTAATAAATCTGCGAAAATGTCAACAATTCTGTTTTTCTGTTAATACGTGGTATAGTGTGTGCATTGAGGGAAAAAAACAACTGAGTTTAGCAAATGGCTGCAATATAACAAAGTTAAAAGTTTAAGGGGGTCTGAATACTTTCCGTACCCACTGTATATGTTAGAAAAACTTTCTCCCAATGTATATGTTAGAGCTGCACGATTCTGGCTAAAATGAGAATCGTGATTTTTTTGCTTAAAATAAAGATCATGATTTTCTCATGATTCTGTAGATGTAAAATAAAGGTTTGGTAAAAACGAACAAATGGCACAACATCAATAATAATGTGTAGGTCTACTGGTTTTTATAAATAATTCTATTCTACTTCTAATAATTCTGATGTTGAATTATTATGTTTGAGATATATGCTTGCAATCTGTCATATTAGACAATTTTATTCACTGGTAAAATCAGACATTTGCCATTATCAGATTATATTCAACATTATATAGGCTAGAGTAGTTATACTGACACTGTAAACATTTATTTTCATGCACAACTGTGGGTTCGCTATGAAAGAAAAAACATCAAATGCTTGCTGTAATCATAACTCTGAAATGTGATACGATCATTTAAATGAAGTTCACACTTTCCGTTTAATTTTCACTGCTAAGTGCTGTTTATACTTCGCGCGCGGCTCACAAACGATCACTCTGTGCCACAAACTGAATACTATTTACAACTGTATTACCCGTTACTCGCAACATATACAGGTTCCGTTCACTAAAGTAGGGGTGAAGTAGGGGGAACTCTATGTGATAACAGCTCACGGTCAGCAGCTCACGTCATGTGTGATTTCCCAGCCGTGAAAACATCATTATATTAAGACAAAAATGACATTTTTGAGTGAATTATACCTTATAAATACAGTATGTGACTCATTCAACATCATTTGGAGGTGTCAATGTCACTGAGCAACGTATGTGAAACAATGAAAAGACTCGTGCAGCCACCTTTTCTTCTCTCCTGAACTTGAAAATATGATTGGCAGAATCGTAGAAATGCAGAATTAAGATCGTCTAGGGGGTCGAATCGAGATCGCGATCTTTTAACGATTAATTGTGCAGCTCTAGTATATATCATATGAATATAATGAATCTGCATTATCTTCCACTTCACCAGAACTGACCTTTAGTGACCACATCCGCAGCTTGTGATCTTGACACAGTGTGAAAATGAAAGTGTCGTCCTCCAGTTGATGAACAGCCAGACTGACGGCCATATCAGACATGCTCTGATCTCCCCTGCGAATAACAGCACGCTCCGTTTAAAACACGTTTCAATATATACGTTTTAATTCTAACGCAAATGTATGTAAAAGCAATGGCGTACCTGATGGCAGTGGGCATCCAGCCGGCCAGACGCTGCATCATTGAACTCTGCTTCAACTCCAGAATGGACACGGAGCCTTTGTGAAGAAGAGCACAATCATGATTATCAGCACATTACAATGGCTTTACATCATTAGAAAAATAAGAATATTACAATAACTTTTAAAGGACGTGGAATGAAGTAATGAGGAAAATGTTGCTTTGCACCACATTTCAGTCCATGTGAATGGGAAGATGCTGAAACTTTTACTTCAGTGTGTTGATGTGCTTCCAACTAAAACAGAATATCGAGTATGGGGCGGGGCTTTGTTTTGCGCATCATTCTCTCATAGCAAACTAAGGCTAAGTCCACGCATATATGGGTATTTTGTAAGCCGTTTTCCCTGCCTTCGTTTAAAAAAAAAATCTCTGTCCACATGAAAACACCTAAATGCACTGTGATGCATGTTGAGGGCACGTTGCACCAACAGATAGTCATTAAAAAAAGGCTTTTATGCCAAGTTCACGCCAAACTATTAAGCAAATTAAGTATTTGCTCATCGCATACAAGTCGATGCAAACGTGAGAATAGAGGCGGATTACCGTCCAGTGGTGCGAAAAACAGTGGCAACCCAGTCATTTTGGCCAATCAGAGAGGAGAAAACTGGTGTCGTAAGGCAAACACTCCAATCTTCACCAAGGCCATAGTTTTAGAAAGTTTCTGTTTCAGTCACATGATACTGCATCTTCATGTTGACAAACAGCCAACACAAAAAAAACTGCAATTTTATGAACGCCCATGTTTGTGTGGATAGGGCCTACTGGTAAGAGGGGCATGGCTAAGGATGTTGATATACAGTTGCTATAGCAGCCATTAAGCTGACGTCAACAGAACCGCCGCTCTAAAGGCGAAAGCAAACGGTCTGACTTTGATTAAAGATTACCAGAGCAAACTATTTTTTTTCATGTGGAATAATTTGAAGGGATCTAATATTCCCCTTAAAGGTCCTGTTAAGTGCTTTGAAATGTGCATGTTTTTATTCCATGCTTGACGTAGTCTGAAAAATGAAGAAAGAGCAGGACAGAGAGGCTGCTCCCTTTTAAAAAACAGCCAATAGCGTTTAGTTTTTATCACAGCTTTGCCAATGAGAGCGGTTGAGATAAAGCACATCTAATGCAAAGCAAATGAGAAGTGTCTTGAAGGGGGAGGGGCATGTCAGAAACTAGAGCCTTTGATTGGTCAAGGTTTGATGAGAAACTGAAGTATTGCTGTAAAAAAAAAAAATGACAAACTGCACACTTTGGATGTTTATATCAGTTTTAAACACGAATTTTGTCTGTTTTGAAGCACACTAGCAAATAGATGCCCTTAAAACTGACTCAACAGACTGAAACTAACATCTAAAATTTTTATTTCACAGGACCTCTAAATATAACACTGTGAATTTTAATTTCATGCAGACTTTAATAGATAAAACCTAAATGCAGCCTTACGCCCCATTCACACGGGGCTTCAGCGTCAATGCTTGACTGAAGGCGTGTCTGAAGTTGGGGATGAAACGATCGTCATAGCAGCGTCAGCCAATGAAATTCAGTTAGCAATAGGTCACTGTCTAGCTGGTGTATTTGCATACAGTGATCTGATTGGCTGACGCTTCCGTACGGAATCCACAATGCAGTTCGCCAACGCCTGACATCATCCATTCAAAGTAAATGGGAAGCGTTGACGCTGACGCCCCATATGAATGCAGCCTTAGTGTACAGATGAAGCTTTTCATAGGCAAATGTATTTATTTATTAAACTTTATTTAGGGTAAAACAGATAGAGATGTAGAAACCACGAACCATCCTGATCATGAGCCGGTAAGGTGACCACAGCGATGCCTCCTGAGGGCGAGGCGAGAGCGAACAGCGCCTCCCCCTGGTGACTGATCCAGGCCGCAGACGTGGACGGAGCGCTGGAGTGCGGGCCTTGTGTGAACGGGAGAACGTAACTGTGAGCTGGGCCATTTAAATTCAGCTTCCCAATGTCTGTGAAAATGGACTGCATCTGGAGTTCAGTGACCAGATCCTGTAAGAGAGAAATGAGTATGGTCAGCGCCACTGCGGGCAGGATTACTTAAGTAATGCAATAACAAATTAGTGTGCCTCCACACCGGTCTCATTTAGCTTGGCAACAAAAGTACCAGAGTTGACTGTAAATGAAGCTGAAGCTAGTGGACGTGTGAAAGCACAGTAAAGGTCATGTGACTTACGCTGCGGTACATGCGGGTCGGATGCGGTAACACCAGGCGATGCACTGATTGGCTGGTGACGATCAGAATAATGACATTGTTGAGTGTCTCCTGTATGGAAACGCCTCCGGGCAGGAGGAGGCATTGTGGGATGCGCAGGCGCACAGCATTATTCAGAAGATTGGTGTCCAGCGACTGCTCGACAAGCTGCACTGTATCACCCGAGGTGGCCCTGGAGGACAACAGAGGAGAAAACGTGATTCGGCAGAAAGTAAAAGCATTTAATGAGGCACTCTCAACTGGAAAACACCACAATGCAAGTCCAGATCTTCATACCCGTCAACCCTCCCGTTTTTCCTGGGATTCTCCCGTATTTTACAGTTCTATCCTGCTATCATCCCGTAAAAGTGTTTTCCCGTATTTACCTCTTATGTATTTTCAGCGTTTCTCTGAAGGGTGGCAAAAAACTCTAAAGAAGCCGAGCCGTGCTATACGTAACCCATTCCGCCGAACCACCAGGGGCCGCCCCTTGCTCTTAAATGTGAGTCTGTTTTGTGCTTTCGCTTTGTTTATGCGCGAAAACACTTTGAAATAAATATAAAAACGAAGCGATTCCTCTTCCTTTTCATTACAGGTGCCGTCACACCTCCTATGTAATCCTCAAAACAGTCACATAAGCCCCTTACACACAGTGATACCGGTAAATATCCGGAAAATTTCCGGAACGACTTTACCGGTATATTCAAAAAAGCGCTGTTCACACAGGCACGGACGTTACGGAAATTTTCCGGAAAAGAGCGTTCACACATCCATTCCAAAATACCGGTAAATTCTGACATCATTCACCACAAATGAGCTTTAAACGGCTGCGCTTGTATTTGTAAACATTTGACTAAATTACAAACTCTGTGGATGATCAATATTGTGAATGACTTTCGCAGGATCACTTTCGCATGTCGAGATGTTCATAATGTGCGTGTGCTGGCGCTCGCAGGCTGTTTCACTGGCACACGCAAAGCTTGAAGGTAAACAAACAACGGCTTGTCATAAGCATCTCATCGATAATTATTTACACAGTTGGCATTAAGAAGAACATATAAATGTTATCTGACTAACTTCTAGCAGCTAAATGTGTCAGGAAAAATCTTCAAAGGCTTTTATTCTCATAAACCGCGCGGACGTAAATGCATCTGACTGTTGTGATTGGCTAAAGCAGACGTCTCACGTCAGCATGTTCTAGACGTGCACGCGCTTATTCCGTCAATCTTCCTCCTGCATTCACACAGCGCAGCATTCCGGCAAACTGCCGGTAATGTTACAACTTCTCTTTCCGGAAAATAGCCAGAACGAATTTACCGGTATTTTCAAAAAGGACCTGTTCACACATACACACCTTTCCGGAAAATTGCCGGTAATTTTCCGGAAAGGTCTGTATGTGTGAAAGGGGCTATAATCATGCGTGACTGTCAGCTGACGCGCTCCAGAGTGATAAATAGATGCTGTTGTCCAAAGGGATTCTGTACACGCGATTTGAAGCGGAGCGAAAATCTGGCTTTCGGGCGCGTGTTTAAACAGACATACACACATAATTAATAATAATATTAATAATAAGATCTAAAGATGTCGATCTTGGTGTTTTTTTTTTTTTTCAAACACAACTAATTTCGTCTTAAATGAGCATAAAAAGTTAGGAAAGCAGTCGAATGCCTTCAATATATTGTTAGATGTGTGCATTTTTAAAGTGACGCCTCTGTTATTTAATGTATTCAAACGAAACAATCTAAATAAATAATCTAAATAAACAATCTAAATAAATAAGACATTTATTTGTTGCTCTTTAATCAGAATGTGTAAGTTATACAGCGAATCAACGGCTATAAGATTTGATAATCCCTTTTTATGGTGGGAATATCCCTTATTTTTACATCCCAATGTCGACAGGTATGGATCTTACAAGAGTAAATTTCAATTAAACCAGTCAAAAGTTTGCAATTTTTACATGATTAACAATTTTAATTAAATTGACGGAGTTACACATGGGTGTGAATTACAGGGGGGTTTGGAGGGGATTGACCCGCCTAATTGATCTCGCCATGAAGGATATCAAAGCGATGTATGAGAAGGAAGGGTCGTCGCTTTAATAGTAAGTAATAGCTTTCGCTGATCTATATCTTAAATATTAATAACTAAAAATGTGTAATATAAATATACATTTGACCTCCCCCATCCCCCACCGGTTCATACTAATGTGAATCACGCCAATCAATGATAGGAAAAACATCATTCAACAGTGTGAAACTGGCAGTTCTAGAGCACCGATCTTATGTATTCACAAAACCTGCTTCTTATAAAATAGTTTTTTAGATCTGCATGTAGCCTAAAAAAGGAAAAATTAAACACATCATTTGTACAGTTTGACCGACAGTAACCTTTAAAATAATCACTAAACATCCCTCAAAACACTGAAAACATATACATTTTATTGATAAATTAGATGTCATTTAAATACATTCATAAATTTGATTTTATAGTTTTCCATTGAATGATAAATGATCATGAAACTGAAAAAATGTCATTTAATATTAAATCTAAATATTTATTCTGCCCAAGTAAAAATAAATACATTCACTCTATTGTTTTTATAAACCATAAATTAATTGAATTACTCGGGTTCGACTTAAATATTTACTTTTGGAACTTTTTTTTTTTTTTTACTATAAAATCAAAGTAAAGTTGTACTAAATAGTAACCTCAGGCTATGCTATTGCTAATTAATTTTTTCAATTTTCAAGATCTGTGGTCAGCTATCTGCTGGTGTTTACCGTATGGCTACAAACGTCATGCAAGATCATCAAACTTATTAGAAAAATACAATAAAACAGAATAACGGTACATCATTTTTTTTATGTAGTCGCATGACATGAAAAAGACAGGTTTAAAGTAAAAAATGACTTTTGCAAATAAACGAATGCTTTTAATTTGTTCTAAGGGGGTTGTTTTATTGCTTTAAGGCAAATTGAATAAAGCAGGTTAAAACCAGAAACCATTTCTCACTTAATCTGATATCAAAATGTTCTTTGAATGACAGTTTCACGTTTTTCAGTGCACACGAAAGAGAAGTGCGGTAAAACAGAAGAGTTCTGACCAGTGGATGAATCTGTTGCTGGTGACCGACAGCAGTTTCCCACTGTCCTCGTATGAGAATCCGCCAGCACTGTCTGCATACTTCACACCACCAGAGGAGACCCCCACACCACCTGCACAACAACAACAACATACACATCAGATATTACAGAAGATAACGATCATATCAAACTCTTACATCATTTTATTACACAAAAAAAAAAGGTTAGTTGTACATTATTCCTAAATGTTGTCCAATCAAGTTGACTTAATCCTTTGTACAATTTTAAGTTGGTTGAACATGGAACAATCAAGTTGTCCCCCCAAAAAACTTATGTATTGTGTTGTGTTATGAATTAAATTAAAAATCCTTAATCAAAAAGAGATTTAACCAAAACGTAACAAAATAACAGGGATTAAAAATATAATACCTGCTGCCCCCGCGCTCTCTCTCCCCAAAATATATACCAAAAACACAACCGCTAAGAATTAACAAGAAACTGATTTATTTACAGAAATAAGAAGCAAAAATAACATCAGGAGGGGTTCAGACAAAATAAATGACAATAAACCAAGCTAACTAAATTAGATTAAACTTCCCTGGAAAACAAATAAACTAAAATACAGAAAACTTACCTCCCTACTAACAAACACAGGAGAAAACGAAAATAACAAATAAGGCACCAAACCTCCCTGCATGCTCCAAGCCCGACAGGGAGACAGAAAACCGGGCTTCAATCGCCGGTTTAAAAATTAACACAACGGCATCTCAATATTCAAGCAAACACTTATTGGACCACGTTCTCCACTGAGTACAAGCGGGGAAATCGAGAGAGAGCGGGGAGCCACCGAACCCATGTTCTCTGCAGGTTTTTATAGCCGCCGCCAATCATGGTCCGTCCCAACGTAATCCGCTCCACCTGCGAATACTTAGAGAGAGAGAGAGAGAGAGAGAGAGAGAGAGAGAGAGAGAGAGAGAGAGAGAGAGAGAGAGAGAAACACTACACACAAGCCTACACTACACTACTCAGTTGTTTCAACTAATTTTATACAAGTTGTTTAAAAAAAAAAAGCAGCAAAAGTCTTTTTTGAGTGTATTTTTGATCACCTCAACGTCCTTCCCTGTGTGTTCATGTTTTTAATTAAGTAAACTTGAGCTTTTGTTTCTGTTTTAAACTGTTGCTTTGTTTACAGAAAGAAACTGCAACCAAAACATAATAAACTAAAGTTGGTTTTAAATTAGCACATTCGTTCAGTGACAACTTCTCTATAGCGTTTACCATGGTATTTTTAATATTTAGTCTGAAATTACATGAAAGTATGACTTGTATAACAACATTAGCACTATGTATTTTCGTAAACAATGCTGTACTTTGACAGTCATTGGCTGCTATTATGGTTTTACTTTTACTTTTCTGAAACTATATATAATTGAGAATGTCCAAATTTGTGAGCATAAACCAACTTTACCTCAACCCAAAACGGGAGGTCATAAGAAAACCTCTTAATGATACAAAACAACATATTAGCGTCGCGTAAGTCTGTATTTAATCTCATACATCACACCGATAATGAACATAAGTGGTATTTATTTAGGTGAAATTGGTTTTATAATCACACATTCGAAGTTTGTGGTTCAATAAAACACTAAAGCAGACTTTAAACTGTTTAATACAGATTATTTCCAATGACGTGCTGTTATTGGTGTTGTTAAGTGCGAAGCGCGTGCATGCGGAGTTTCTCCGCGCGTCACACACACACACACACACACACACAAGCCACCAGAGCCATTCAACACACACCAGACTGGAAAGAAGACGTCTAAAACAGCTTAATAATAGGAAATGTGTTACCTAGATTTAATGTAATCTGTCTGAACCGCGAAACTGTTTCTCTTTCAAAGCCGCAGATCTCAATGTAGCTCCGCTCCAGAACACCCGCCATCTTCACGCGCTGCACGCTGGGACTGAGCTGCGCGCTTCCGCCTTTCAAACACTTAAAGGGCCAGTACTCTGAAAATGAAGCGCACTTGACATATGTTTATACCGGTTTATACATCTATATTCTGTATTAAAAGTGCATTTGATAACTTGTTAATAACCTAATTTGAATAAATATACATGTATAATATATTGTATTTAAGGGCGACACGGTGGTTCAGTGGTTAGCACTGACGCCTCACAGCAAGAAGGTCGCTGGATTGAGTCCCGGCTGGGTCAGTTGGCATTTCTGTGTGGAGTTTGCATGTTCTCCCCGTGTTGGTGTGGGTTTTCTCTGGGTGCTCCGGTTTCCCCAACACTCCAAAAACATGGTACAGGTGAATTAAGTAAGCTAAACTGTCCGTAGTGAAGTGGTTCCCATGATGGGTTGCAGCTGGAAGGACGTAGACACACTCTTTCATTCATTCATTTTCCTTTGGCTCAGTCCCTTTGTTAATCAGGGGTCACCACAGTGGAATGAACTGCCAACTTGTACAGCATATGATTTACACAGCGGATGCTCTTCTACCTGCAACCCAGCACTGGGAAACACCTATACACACTTAAACCCATACAGTTAAATTAAATGTTTCTTTCCATAGTAATTTTACTAATAAAATTTACAATTGTGCTCCGCTTTCCCCCACAGTCCAAAGACATGCGGTACAGGTGAACTGGGTTGGCTAAATTGGCCTTAGTGTCAATCTCAGCTCGCATCATAAAGGCTGCATCCAGATACTATTGGAATTGGCTGGAGTGTATGAGTGCGTGTGTGAATGCGTCTGTATGAGTGTTTCCCAGTGATAGGTTGTAGCTGGAAGGGCGTCCACTGCATAAAACACATGCTGGATAAGTTGGCGGTTCATTCCGCTGTGGCGACCCTGAATTATTAAAGGGACTAAGCGGAAAAGAAAACGAATGAATGAAATTACAATTGTGGTCAATTAAAACACAATATAGCCAACTTTTGTTTTATTTCAGCTATTTCATAGGAAACTTTTGAATTTGACTAAAATCACACACACAAAAAAGCAAAAAATAAAGAACTTAAGCAAAATAAGAAATTACATTATTTATATATATATATATAGAGAGAGAGAGAGAGAGAGAGATTAAAAAGCATAAGCTATATATATTAAAAATATCAATTATACTTACCAGTAAAATGTAGTACACGCTTAAAAAATAAAAACGTTAAATTTTTCAAAAAATTTCTCAAAAAATTACAATGAAGCTTCCTTGTTTTATAATCATTTTAAATTCAAGTGTCTCCGTATACTAGTGTGATGTGGACTTTCTCTAAGACTGAGAACTATGCTTTATGTTATTATAGTTCTGTGAATGAATATGAACCATCCTCCACATGATTCCTCTGAAGCACTGTTTTATCCGTCCAAACCACAGAATCAATTCAGAGTGATGCACGTCTTTATACTGTTACACTTCTCACCTTTGAATAACAGAACTTGGGAATCTCCGTCTGATCACACTAAAGATTACGAAAGCTTGTTTCTGACAGGATTAAATAAATAAATGAATAAAACAATATGCAGCATGGCGAGGCAGTGGCACAGTAGGTAGTGCTGTCGCATCACAGCAAGAAGATCGCTGGTTCGAACCTCGGCTCACTTGGCGTTTCTGTGTGGAGTTTGCATGTTCTCCCTGCCTTTGCGTGGGTTTCCTCCTCGTGCTCCGGTTTCCCCCACAGTCCAAAGACATGCGGTACAGGTGAATTGGGTAGGCTAAATTGGCCGTAGTGTATGAGTGTGTGTGTGTGTGAATGTGTGTGTGTGGATGTTTCCCAGAGATGGGTTGCGGCTGGAAGGGCAAACCCGCCTGTAATTCACACCCATGTGTCACTCCGTCACTTTAATTAAAATTGTTAATCATGTAAAAATTGCAAACTTTTGACTGGTTTAATTGAAATTTACTCTTGTAAGATCCATACCTGTCAACATTGGGATGTAAAAATAAGGGATATTCCCACCATAAAAAGGGATTATCAAATCTTATAGCCGTTGATTCACGGCTTGCACATTCTGATTAAAGAGCAACGAATAAATGTCTTATTTATCGCATCGCTGTGGCGACCCCAGATTAATAAAGGGACTAAGCTGACAAGAAAATGAGTGAATGAATATGCAGCATCTCACAATTGAGAGTCTTTGTTTTTAGTTCATATCTTGCAAATGAGGTTAAGGATACAATTCTGAAAGAAAAAAAATGATGATGTATTTAAATACTTCAGGGATATAAACATTCATTCATTCATTTTCTGCCGCTTTTCAGGGGCCAGGTCACAGGGGCAGAAGTCTTAGGAGAGAACCCCAGACTTCCCTCTCCCCAGACACTAACTCCAATTCCTCCGGTGGGATCCTGAGGTGTTCCCAGCCAGCCGAGAGTCATAGTCCCTCCAGCGTATCCTGGGTCTTCCCCGAGGCCTCCTCCCAGTGGGACATGCCTGGAACACCTCCCTAGGTAGGCATCCAGTAGGAATTCGAAACAGATGCCTGAGCCACCTCAGCTGACTTGTCTAGATGTGGAGGAGCAGCTGCTCTACCCCGAGCTCATCCCGGGTTTCAGAGCTCCTCACCTTATCCAGAAGAGTGCGCCCTGCCACCCTTCGAAGGAAACTCATTTCGGCCGCTTGTATTCAAAATCCTGTCCTTTCGGTCATGACCCAAAGCTCATGACCATAAGTGAGAGTAGGAACGTAGATTGACTGGTAAATCGAGAGCTTTGCCTTTCGGCTCTGCTCCTTCTTCACCACAACAGACCGGTACATCGACCGCATTACTGCTGCCGCTGCACCAATCCACCTGTCAATCTCACGTTTCATCCTTCCCTCACCTGTGAACAAAACCCCGAGATACTTAAACTCCTCCACCTGAGGACTTTCCTCCAACCTGGAGATGGCAAACCACCTTTTTCCTCTGACTTGGTGCTCCACCTCAGACTTGGACGTGCTGATTCTCACCAGGAATATAAACAATTTTAAGAAATAAAAAGTAAGACTTTTGAGATGAACTCTGAATTACGGAAACGAGTCAGAACTGCCAGAAGCCAACTCGGAATCGTAATGTTTCTTTGTTTTCTCGCAAATTAGAAAAAATAACACAGAATTGCAATTATAAAGTCGGTATTACGAGACTTAGGGTGCTTTCACACCTAGACTTTTGTTTCGGAACCGGTCTCGTTTGCCCAGTTAGCGCGGTTCGTTTGGCATATTTGAATCCATCAATCACGCTCGGATCCGCGCCAAATCAATCGCTCCGAGATCACTTGAATGAGGTGGTCTCAGCTCGATGGAAACGAACTCTGGAGCGGGTCGATTGTACTGAGAAAGCGATACGATCTGAGCCCGGTTATAATCACAGTGTTTTATGGATATGTAATAGGCATACGACTATATGAAGAGAGAATGATGAGTCATTCCAGACATCCCAACTCTCCCGGAAGTTTCAGGAGTCTCCCGCAAAAGCACAGAGTCTCCCAGATGCCCGCAAACAAGTGATTATCGCGTGTCTCCCTCCTGGTCCTCTAAGTCGCGCACACTTCTCACCCCCCTCCCCACCGCATCCCTCCTCGCTCTTCAGGCACGTTGCGCGCACCTTGTCAAACACCACCAAACCACCCTCCACATACTCACACGTGACTTGTTTTAGCTCTTTGGTCCATTTAGAAATTTAGCCGAGTGAAAGCGAACGGCACCAAGAGCAAAGAGCAACACTGTAACAACAGTAATCTGTTTCGGAACAACTGAATCGATTCAAAGGTGTGAAAGCACCCTAAAACTCAGAATTGAGAAAAAAAAATTGAATTATAATATTTAAATTAGCAATAATAAATGGAAACAAATGTCAGTGAGAGAGAAAATGACACAAAATGAAACGTAATTAGCAACCAGACACAAAACATCTGCTAATCTGCCCACAAAAACCATACTTACGACAGACATAAAGGACGTCACGAAACCTCACTCAAACAAAATAGACTTTTATTGTGCCAAGTATTGAAATCTACTATACGAAGCCAAAAAACAAAACAAACAAAATCAAAACGTAGTGTGTGAAGTTATCTTTAGATACAGATTTAAAAAAAAAAACAACTTAGTCAACTCAATAAAGGGTAAATAAAGAAAAACAAAAACATATGATCAGTAATACTGATTTGTACCGTATACGGAATGGACCCGCGGGAATGTCGTCCAACCATTGTTATTAACATAATAAACAGGCACTGAAAAAACGAGTGTAAGAAAAGTAGTAGTATATTACCATAGGAATAAAAATGAAGGTATATGGGCGAGCGGGTAAAATTCTCTCGACGTCTCACTCTTCCCAATCCCCCCCCGACTACATGAATGTTACGACCAATGAAATCTGAATTGTATGAACGTAATTGGGAGTGTCTCACATGGGCAGATCAACACTGTTGTGGCGCGTTTTTCTGGAGGTGCCGTCGTAACGGGGCAGTGCTTTCTGCAGGCTGGACATGGCAGCCGTTCGCTCCACGTCGATGACCGCGTAAAGCTCCGTCCGGCGGGTGGGCGTCTGCGGCAGTGGAGAAGTGGGCGTTTTTGGGGTCTGAGGGTTGCTGGAGTTCTCCGTTTCGGTCTCCACCTCGATGTAGTTCAGTTTGTGTGACTCCAGGCATGGCCGGCGGAAGTCGAAGTTGAAAAACGTTGGCGTGGATCGGTCCCGCCAGCGGGCCGACTCCACTTTATTAGCGCTAAGCGGCGCAGTGACGTTTTCGGTGTTGATGTAGTAGTGAGTAGGGTCGGGACTGTACTGCCGGTGGTTGTGGAAGCCATTTATTGGCTGATCCTCATCCTCGGAGCCGCCTTTCGGGTGTTCCCTTAATGGCGGGAGAGCGGGGAGATTTTCATAGTCTAGCAAAGCGGTTCTCCGCTGAGCAGAGTTATTAGCATTAGCATCTGGAGTGAGAGGCGGAGGGCGCGAGCGACGGCGGGAGAGTGCGGAGACTTCAGGAGAGGGTTCGTCGAGTTTAGTGATTTCGGCGGTGTCTGTGTTTTTAGGCTGTGAAACGATGCTGCCGTTTGTTGCTTCTTCATCTCCTGTGCTCTGGGTTGCTTCTTTTTGCCGCTGTCTCTGCACTGGCGTCGGGCCCAGGATGAAGCGCACACCTTCTGGCTCTATCTGCACTCGAGGGCCCGGGTCCGGAGCCTCCTGAGGGACGGGTTCCTCTCCGTCGGGCGAGGAGGCGTTCAGTTCTGCCGGAGCATCTGAAATACTGGGGCTGTGCTGATCCAGCAGACCGCTGGTGTTCACGTATGTGTGACCCTGAGGAGATGGAATATAATATTATAATATGTAACAGAAGACATGCTTTCAAAACAGTGATGTGACATTTTAACTACTTTAACTAGTAAAATTAGTTAAAAATGATTTGTAATTTGAAAATCGCACTAAAATCATAGAAAAAAATGTGTATATATATATATATATATATGTTATCCGTCAGGCTTGTTTGAAGGGTAAGTGTGATGCAGGAGGGTTGAAACTAAACTGCAGAGCTGCAGCCCTCCAGGAACTAAGTTTGACACTCCTGATTTAGGTTTGAGTTTCCCTAAAACATATACGGCTGGTTCAAATTACCATAATATTATTTATTAACAACTGTATTAATTGATGTTAAATACATTTCAATATCCTCCTACCCGTACAGCCTCCTCTGCAGCTAACAGAGGGTGTGTGGACTCCTCGCCCAGTGAAGGCAGACACGAGCTCCCGACAGACGGATGCCGGCTGGAGGGGTGAGAGGGAGCGTCGCCCAGAGATGGGTACCGTAAGCTGCCGTTCGGGAGAGCAGGGAGCATGCTGCCAGGAGCTAAAGAAAGAAACATGCAAATACACTAAACAACATGCCTTCTTGCTAACATCCAGGATCAGTTAACGAACATTTTGCGATCAGTAATTAACCCAAGTTTGCAGAACCAAACATGCTTTGAGTGTTACACACTTTGATTGTGGAGCTAAATGTTTATGTTAGCTTAGCTTAACTCCTCCTACAGCTTTCAAACGATAAGCACCAAATTTGGGTCAGACCTCCAGAATGTTCTGAGCTATTGGGCTATATCTTTTCTTACCGATCGTACATACGGTTCTCCTAAAAATAGCAATTAAATGTCCAAAAAATATTATAAATCTGAAATGACAGAATTCTCAGCAAAGACTCTTAAAAGTTTAACTAGATAAACTGTTTATCTAAACAAAAACACTTTAAGCTTTATTGATTTATTACAGTTATGTCTAAAAATCATTTGAGGAATCGATTCTGCGTCAATTGTGAACAGCAGATGTCGCTCTAGGCTAGTTTTAAACAGAAGATGACGCTCTAGACTAGTTTTTAACAGCACATGGTGCTCTAGGCTGAATTTTAACAGCAGATGGAGCTCTAGGCTAGTTTTAAACAGCAGATGGTGCTCTAGGCTAGATTTAAACAGCAGATATGATCTAGGCTAGTTTTAACAGACAATGGCGCTCTAGGCTAGTTCTAAACAGCAGATGGCACTCTAGGTTATTTCTACACAGGAAATGGTGCTCTATGCTTAATTTAAACAGCAGTAGGCAATCTAGGCTAGATTGTAACAGACAATGGTGCTTTAGGCTATTTTTAAACAGCAGATGGCGCTCTAGGCTAGATTTTAACAGCAGATGGCGCTCTAGGCTAGATTTTAACAGCAGATGGCACTCTAGGCTAGTTGTAATCCATGAATACTTATGATGAAAGCGGTGATTTAAGTTTTCTTTACTGTTACGAGGTTAATGTAAACACATGCTGGTGTACTGATGAAGCAGCAACGTACTGGTTGGTGTGTGTGGAGTGAGGGGAAGATCTGGTTCAGCTTGAGTGAGCGTGGGCTCGAACACCGGCTCCTCCACCACGCTGATGCTGTTGTTATGCATGATGTCCTGCAGCATGTTGAAGATCTCTTCAGCTCGTGAACACTTGAAGGCAAATATCCCTGCAGAACGTGAACAAAAACACAGCTGACAGACCAACACAGAACAGAAGAGGCAATATCTTTTGCAAAATGATGGCATCCGATAATACCAAAACTACATTCAAGTGAATAAACCTACAGATGGACAAACAAACACACAGGACAAAAGCGTGTAGCATTATTCAGGTTATTATGAGGAAGGTCAACATTTGCTAGTCCTACAAGTAAATCACAGGGCCAGATTTACTAACAGCTTGCGTCAGCACATTTTTATGTATGATCCAAAAATGAAAAACTAGCGATAAAATTTTGCTGCATGCTTAAAAAGACTAATTTTAGGTGCAAAACACACGAGAACAGTATTAAAATTAATAATGCAAGACAATTTATTAAGGTTTATGATAGTCAACTGGGGGCTGATATTTGAGGTTTATGATAATGTGGTAATTATTTTATCAAAATATGAGTTGGTGTAATGGAGTATGTCACAAACAAACAAACAAAAACACATCTTAAGGGTCCAAAAGCATTAACTTCAGTCGAGTTTCCATCCTAACATGAAGCTAATCTTTTCAAAGTATGCAAAAAACCCAAACGGGAATAAGTCGTGCTCGTCTCTCATTAGCAATTGCTTCAGTGTAATGTCGTCAAAAGTACCGAGTTTGGTATCAAACGGTACTGAAATTTAAAAATGTCAATTTTTTACATTTGAAAGCTGATTGGCCCTTGTGTCACGTGCTTAACAGAAATGACTGTGATTGGCCAAGATGGTCATCAGTTCAGCACTCAGCCAATTACAATCATGCTCAAATTAAATGGACATTTATAACACTTCAGTACCAATTGGGATACTTTGGACAACACTATAGTTGTCTCATTTCACAGCTTTTAACCGCTTTTAGCTTCATACTACCATCATGATATGTGAAATACTTTAGCTTATCCATCAACATGATTTCTGCAGGAAACCGACACATTCAGATGACATATAATGATATTTTCAAGACCACAACTCTCATGATTTCCACACTCAGTCACGACTTCATCAAAATATTCCTTTGTTTGTTGTGAATGTGCGCTCTCTAGTGGTGAAAATCTCATATTATGTCTTTAAATTGAACACAGTCAATACAATCTGAAAATCTGAACAAAAACAGTTTTCAAGCTTTGGCGATTTATTACAGTTGTGGCAAAATTTTTAGAAATCAATTCGGCATCATTTGTTAACAGCAGATGGCGCTCTAGGCTATTTTTAAGACATTATTTTAAGGGTTTTTGACCTTTAATGAATCGGACAGTGGAGAGTTTTTGACAGAAAATGATGGGGAGCATAGAAAGAGGGTAAAGATCTGCAAAGGACCTCAAGTTGGGAATCGAACTCTGGTTGCCGTGAGCATCTCAGTGCTAAAGTATGTCAACACACTAACCACTAAGACGCTGCTTGACTTGTAACTCCTCCTTCAGCATTCAAACGATAAGCACCAAACTTGGGTCAGACCTTCAGAATGTCGGTACAAAATTATGTGTTGACGCACTAACCACTAGCCTAGAAACTAGCCGCTCTGTCTATTAACAGCCGATGGCGCTCTAGGCTAGTTTTAACAGCCAATGGCCCTTTAGGCTACTTTTAACAGCCGATGGCACTCTAGGCTACTTTTAACAGGCGACAGCGCTCTAGGCTAGTTTTAACAGCCGACAGCGCTTTACGCTAGTTTTAACAGCCAAAGGCACTCTACGCTAGTTTTAACAGCCGAAGGCGCTCTAGGCTAGTTTTAACAGCCGAAGGCGCTCTAGGCTAGTTTTTAAAGCCCAAGGCGCTCTAGGCTAGTTTTAACAGCCGAAGGTGCTCTAGGCTAGTTTTAACAGCCGAAGGTGCTCTAGGCTAGTTTTAACAGCCGAAGGCGCTCTAGGCTAGTTTTAACAGCCGACGGCGCTCTAGGCTAGTTTTAACAGCCGACGGCGCTCTAGGCTAGTTTTAACAGCCGACGGCGCTCTAGGCTAGTTTTAACAGCCGACGGCGCCCTAGGCTAGATTAAACAACCGACAGCGCCCTATGCCAGTTTTAACAGCCGACAACGCTCTAGGCTAGTTTTAACAGCCGAAGGCACTCTACACTAGTTTTAACAGCCGAAGGCGCTCTAGGCTAGTTTTAACAGTCGAAGGCGCTCTAGGCTAGTTTTAACAGCCGGAGGCACTTTAGGCTAGTTTTAACAGCCGACAACGCTCTAGGTCAGTTTTAACAGCCGACAATGCTCTAGGCTAGTTTTAACAGCCAACGGCGCTCTAAGCTAGTTTTGACAGCTGACGGCGCCCTAGGCTAGTTTTATAAGCCGATGTTGCTCTAGGCTAGTTTTAACAGCTGACAACGCTCTAGGCTAGTTTTAACAGCCGACAGCGCTCTAGGCTATTTTTAACAGCCGATGTCGCTCTAAGCTAGTTTTAACAGCCGACGGTGCCCTAGGCTAGTTTTAACAGTAGATGGGGCTCTAGGCTGAAAATGGAATTCTATGCCTTTAAATAAAGCACCAGCATTATAATCACTGCCAGGTTTTACACTCTTGATACTTTTTCATGGAATTACAATCACACACAATAATGTGCCCTGTTAAATAAATCTGGCCATGAATGTTGGGAGCACATCAAGCTGGACTTACCCGATCAAGCATGCAAATACTCGCTCATCCTTTTGAAAGCATTGGGTTCAAATGTCAACAGTTGCACATTAATAACCAAAAGCTCAGACTTTACTTGGGAAGCCTTCAAATAGCTGAATTGCAGTAAATGCCTCTGCCAAATTCTACCAAACATGCTTTTCTTGTTGGCATTTTCAGAACGCAAGGTTTCAGCTTTACCTTGACCGGTCTGGCAGCGACGGCCGCTCTCAAACGAGAAGAGATTGGAGTCGTAGCCGTAGCGTCGCAGACACAGGTAAGGCCACTTGACAGCATCACATTTGCGTGTGCGAAGGACCAGCTCGTCCTCCGTCAGCTCCATGATTCCTGCCCCCAGCTCATTCCCATCATCATCCACATTCACCACCTGCAAACATCATCAGAGCAGATCTCGACATGAACTAAACACACTCGACATCATCACAATCTGATGTGGAAAACGCTGACCTTAAATTTGCTCTGGTGATTGTCAGGGATTGATTCTTTATCTGGACAGCTAAAACAGCTTCCCATGGCTTCTTCAGACCATTTGATTCCTAGAAATCAAGACATAATTCAGCGCTTTATTTCAGAGCTTAACAATACTTTTAATAACACAGTCTTAAAGTAGGGATGTGGAAATTGTATAAATCAAACAATATAAAACAAACTGAAGTGACGGCATTTTGATAAAAAAAACGACCAAAACGAAGTTTATTTCAGTTTGTTTTGCCTCGTAAACATGGGTCCATCATAATTATCATCTCTGATACATTCGACACAACACTTTCTGTCTACAATAAATTGGCCTTAATCCTTTAGTCGAAATTACGTACAATAAATAAATAGATTCAATAAATAAATAAATAACCAGTTCTTCTTACCCAGATCCAGCCACCAGGGTTCCTGGTTCATTCCCCAGCCTAAAGCAAACAGTCATTCTCTTAATGTAAAAAGGGTTTTCAGATGTGAGAGCTGCGTCTGAGGCAATCCTATAACAGAGAAAAAAAAAAAAGCACATAAGATCAATTTCAAATAAAGTATTGATGACTAAAGAAATGTAAACTGACAGTAAATTGAATTGTGGGTTGAAACTAGGGTTGAACCGATAGACGATGCCATCATTCATCGCCGAGGGCCAATAGACAACACGATGCTGAGCTGGCATCACCGATCCATTGACCCGCCCCCGTCGCAAATTCGCTCGCTAAAAATACACACTCAGGCCCTGTTTACACTCATATGTCTTAGTGTTAAAACGGCATTTTAGAATGAAAATGATCCACATCCACACTGTGTTTTACCTAGCTTTTTTGAACAGCCCTGCAGAAAACACATATCACGTGACCACACACAGACACACACACACAGAGACACACACACTGTCATGTGCTCGTAGCTCCAGAGAGCAGTGCATGTCGGACAGTTTATCAAGGATGTACCGCTAGATGGCGTCTCACTATAGTTGTTAAACGTGATATTTATTTGATCTTGTCTCTATCTGACGACTCTTTGGCCTTGTAAATCTATCAGGTAACGCGTCACAGCATCAGTACACTGCTTCAGTCTTTCACTTTCATACTTAGTCATTTTCGTGAAAACCCCAGATACTGTTGGTTGGGCACATTTTTTACCGATCAACCTCCTGCGGAAAAAGTGATTGACAGGTGGTAATTTGCGTGCAACTTATCTTTGTTTATTTATGGTTTGTTTATGATTAAAACAAAGACCATGAGGGTCAGGTAGTTGAAACGGTAGGCTACTAATAATTAATTTGTTATGAATTAATTAATTATTCTTAAATAATTTATTCACCTCCGCCTATGACGACGATGCCATCGTCCATCGCGATGTTTAACATTAGACATCATACGATCGCAAATTGGTCAACATCGTCCAACCCTAGTTGAAACTAAGCTTTGCTGGACACCGGCCCTCCAGGACTGAGTTTGGCCACTCCTGCCTTCAGGCTTATTTTACAAGTCTCCAAGAGTTACACAGTTGGCTTGAACCATTTCTTCAATACGTTCAGCTGATTTCTTGTTCTGGTGGGGTCAATTTTAGCTTAGCATAGCATATTGAATTGAATCGGATTAGACCATTAGCATTTAGTTCAATAAATAATTAAATAAATAATTCTCCTATTTAAAGCTCGACAGGGTTCTTACACCTTTTCAGCACTTTCAAGGTGCATTTTAATGCTTTTTTAGCACTTAACAACGACAGTAAATTATGTTTATATACGCTGGATGCACTTTTTTTACATTTAAATCCATTGTGCGATGTTAAAAAACACAATGTGACATTTTAACTTAAATTGTTGAATACTTTGGAACATGGATTTATTGGGAGATTTTACTCAAATATGGTAAAAAAAAAAAAAAACTATTAAAATAAATAAACAGAAAAAGTTCAGTTATTGAATATGTTTTAAAGTTTTGGTCTCGTTCTTACAGTCAGATTTTGTTTGGGTGTACTACCAAACTTTCATGACCAGTCGTTCATGATGATTCATGTGCACTGCTATTCAAATTTCATGTAACAAATTAAATCCTTTTGGGGCCGAACTATTCACGGTAAAGCCTGGGGGATGGAGTTTGCAGGTAGCAGCATTTGCCACACATTTTAATCACGAGACGTTATATTTAACTCCTTATTTAATCTTCACAATGTTGTCAGTCGTGCAACTGCAGCGAGTTCACCATCGCAAAAGGGCTTGCATTCACTAAGATTTAACTAATATTGCAGCTAATGAAAAGACCGTTTCTGCTATTAAGATGACATTTGCAAATAATAAGTTACATGTCAACTGTTTTAAACTATTTCTAAGTGCTGCGTTTGGCGTTTTTAGGTAAAAATTTGGCGTGAATTTCTCCTAAATACGCACATTCTGTGAACATTTTGCAATTAACACTGTTCGCCCACCAACAATTTTATGCATTCACACAAATGCTCCCAAATTTATTTGGAGCTTGCATAGATAAGATTTAGGGCGCATATGCAACTAAAACAGTAGCAATTTTAAGCCCTGCAATTTCAAATTCAAGCCGATTGAATGGAGTACTTTTCTGATCTTGAAAACACTATATTAAAAATCAAGCATTTTCCAGGATTTCCAGCACTTGTTCAAACCCTGCTCGAGTTTTCTTGAGTTACATTGTGTAATAACACCTACGGAAAATAAACAATATTTTCTACACTAATAATTTTTTACATACTCTTTCTATACTCTCATTCTCCTGCACTAGTGTATATTAAAAATGAACAAATGTCAACTGAACCATGCTAAATGAGCTCTGCAGTTAAGACACACTGCAGTAATCATCTTGCATCATTGGTATCTGCAATTTTTTTTTTTAACAAAGTGATTTTACGACAAAGCAACACTCCTATGTTCAGCCATTTTTACAAATCTACTTGTTAATATATGTAAGGCTGTGTCAGTGTTGCCATGTCCACTTATTCTAAACATCTTCAGGCTTGTTGTTTAGCCTGTAGCTAATAAAGTGATCTTTTTTTGAAGTTAATGATGTATAACGTGTTTTGGTCTTATTTTGAAAAAAAAAAAAAAAAAGAGATTAGTTTATTTTTGCAAGACCTGGCAACATGAATGAGTCAAAACCTGTTCCTCTTTCTCTGTGGTTTTCTTGCACAAACAAAAAGAGACACACACATCTGTGATGCTTGTTTAAATTGCTTATTAACATCTAGATTTTCCACTTTGGCTTAGTACAGAAGTGCAGAGATTTTCTTTTTCTTTCTCTTTTTGGGTTGTAAATAATGAATTTTGCTGCATTTGCCTTAAAGTTCTGAGAACAAGCCTCTGGCAGAAGAAGAATTGAGTTATCTTAATGGATGAAATGGTTTAGAAAATGAAACATTCCAGAAATATTTTCATAAACCAACGCTCTTCTCACACTCACGCATTTGATACCATGACATTAGAACGTATTACACAATAAGGATTATAGCCTTTGATCTGAAACTTCCACAAGAACGTGAGGAAAAACACATGACAATTCAGAATGCAGGCGTTTCCGAAGATACTTCTTAACCTTCGCAATTACAATGCAGCAAAACCTTTGTGCTACACATCTACACAGATGAATTTTTCAATGCCTTAAAAGGTTTTATTACAAGGAATTACAGAGATCAACAAATAAAATGTCACTCAGTTCAACAATAGCTTATATAGCAAAATTATACATTTAGAATATTTATTTCTACTGAAATATTTGACACTATTTGGCAACCCTTCCTCTTACACTTTAAAAATAAAAATAATAAACAAGTAAATGTGTATATAAATGTGTGTATATTTACGCAAGTATAATTTTGCTTCATTTAAGATTATGTAATTGTATTATACAGAGAGAAAGGAAATATAAGCAAATTGTGTTCTGCCACTACATTGGAGCAGTTGCTGTCTAATGCTGTGTTCACACCAGATGCGGAAAAAGCGTCAAGCGGGAGTGATTTACATGTTAAGTAGGGGTGTAACGATTTATCGTTGTACGATTTATTGCGATGCAAAAATGTCTCGATATGCATCGTGGCGTTATGACAATTTGATTACGATATGACGTCCGTTTTCTCTTATTAGTTGAGCTGTTTGCACGTGAGCTACGTTCCACCTGCTGTCGCACGTGAGTTCAGATTGCAGCAGCAGTAATGTTAGCAGATCAAGATGAGTGGAGCTGATATAGAGGATGGCCCATCCTCTCAAAATCAGACGTCTGGCAACATTTCGGTTGTACAGTCATTGCTTTAGACTCGTCAGCTTTTTGACACGCATACTGGGTCAAACATAGCCTAAGTTTTAAAGTCTTCACAGTGATTTACATACTTTGCAGAGCGACATGGATACCTTCTAATGGTGTTGAAAGAGTCACATACTGTATTTATAAGGTCCAATTCACCCTAAAATATCATTCTGTCTTCATATAATGATGTATTGGCGGCCGCAAAATCACACATGACGTGAGCTGACCGTGAGCTGTTACTACAGAGGGCAGATTATGATAGACGCGCACGCGCGCGTCTGCTTCAGTGAACAGAACCTGCAGCTTGTGACTAACAGGTAATAAAGTAGTAAACAACATTCAGTTTGTGGAACAGAGTGATCATTCAGGAGCCGCGTGGGAAGTATGAACAGCAGTGGAAATGAAACCGAAAGCGTGCAGATTATTTAAATAATCATATCGCATTTTAGAGTTATGATTACGACGAGCATTAACTCTTTTGAGTACAGAGGTACATAAAAATGCACGTCAACATGATACACTTGATAGCGCCGACATCAGCAACGCCGAAAAAATAGTAAACCTGCCTAAACTGCTGAAAAGAGCCACGACTGTCCTGTGTAATGAAAAGACGGCCACCCTGTCACTCATCATGCCCAACATGAAGACAGCCATCCATAAAAACCTCTCAGACAGATACACATCACTTCAGGATTATCTTATAGAACTGCTGATTACCTGGAAATGTAGATTGCACACAAAAAAAACGCAAGTGACCAAGTGAAGCCTTAAGCTCTTACTGTTAAACTGTTAAACTGAATTGAATCTTACTGTTAAACTGAATTGAATAATTTCAATAATATTTTATAAGAAGTTTTTAAACTGTTTTATTTTCCACAGACAGTCCTGTTTAATTTATTTTCTTAAAGAAGGTTCAGTTTAACAAGTTGAAACAAAAGAAATACATAAAAAATAGTTTACTTGGTAATTAATTTTTTTTTTTTTTTATAAAATTTGCATTTTAGTTTAATTTTCAATTTTTATTCCAAATATCGTGATACATATTGAATCGTGAACATTATATCGTGATACACATTGTATCGTTACACCCCTAGTGTTTATGCAATGACAGAATTATATAAAGCTTGAAGAATCAGAATCGGTATTGGCTGATCACCATGACAAGGAATCGGTACTCATTATCACCAGCAAAAATCCTGATCGGAGCATACCTAGTATTTGTTATGCTAAATTACATTATTTCACCCACGTTTAACAATTCATTTGGACAAAATCATTAGAAATATTGAAGTAGACACATAACATTTAATATGCTTACTACATTTATTAAACCACTTCTGCTAATTTTATTTGATGCAGACCCCAACATAGCATAGCACCAAGAAATAAATGAACGAATATCCTATTGTTGTAACAAGGACGATTTTACTACGCTTATTTAATTTTAAACAAATGCTAAATATATATATTTTAAATGACTTTATTTTGGTAAATGTTGTGTGTTTTGTTGACATTTTGACACCTAGTCATAAAAATGCCAAATTATTTGATATTTACTGATTATGACACACAAGGATTATCTATCTGAGATATATTTCGCAGTCATTCCTATTATTTTCTGTAAAAGAAACACCTATTAACTTGATTAATGAGCGGTGAAGCAGCAAACGATGTACTTCAGTTGCGATACTTTCACTTCAACTTAATACATTCAAGTTAACTCAACACGAAACTCCTAGAGATAAACATTCCCAAAATGACAAGACACAAAGTAAAAACAGAATAAAACACTCAACAAAATCATTAAAAGACACAAATAAAGTGTATACAGGCTCACATTTGTAGTGTAATTCACGTCTCTATTGAACGCATACACTCAACTGGATTAACTTAGCCCAGCTAACACACACAGCTGATAAGACTAGCTAAATAAACAAACTATATTAAATAAACTGAGGGAAAAATACTTACGATTAGCTCGTGGTCAGTAGGGATGGCTGTTTTTCATCGCTTGATATTCCACATATTATCACAAGTTTTACATGCTAACTTTATGAAGAGTTAGAAACATTAGCCAAACTAGCACAAGTCGGACCGAGCGCCAAAATAATCTTCCCTCTTTCGCTCCGTAGCCGCACGCTAACCGCATAAAGCAAGTTTAACCGCCCACCATAGCGTACAATGAATTAAATTTGCAGTTCATATTAAAGTGCAAATTCGCAGTTAAAGTTATTTGCGGGTTTATTTTGTTGCTATCTGGGGCCGCTGCAAACCAGTGTGTGCAAGCATTAGCATTAAGCTAGGGCGCACTGCGCATGCGCGCGTGTAAGTCATTTTACGTGGGTTACATGATTCGAAGGCTCTTCAGGATCACGGGTGGTCTAAAGGGCCCAAAACTACAGCCTTATGACGAAATAAAACACTCCAACAAACTGTTTAATACACATACCACCACTGTCACCCTGCGGGAAAACCTATAAAGAAACTACCACAGAATATTCAAATGGTTTTCACAACAAATTCCATTGAAACCTTTATACTGTCCAATTTTACCCATTTCAGCCAGGATATTTTGATGGTTGCTAGTTTTTTTGGGGATATATTTCATTAGGATGTGTTGGTTTTAACATTACTTCAGTTGAAGGCAAACATAAATAAATCAATAAAAATACCCCTCATAGGACGATCAGTTTCTATTTAAACTAACATAATTTCCAATATGACTATTTAAAAACAAAAGAATGTCCGTGTGATGTTTCATTTGTTCTTTTTTAATAGGGTGGTTAATTTAATGTAACTTGGATATGGCCCTATTTGTGAATATACAATGTACATATATTATAGTTTTGTCATTTTTTTAACATTTGGTCCGGTAATTATGTTTATACTGATATATTGAGACAATAGTTATGGAAAAGTATATAGTTATAACTAGCGGATAACTTCACAGGAAAGCTGAGTAATTTTTTATCATTTTTGCAACAGAAAATGTGATTTGCAATGTTGATATATTAATATATTAATATTATTTTGTTACAATAATATTTCTTTAATGTTTTCTTAATAGTAAATACCAGTTTTATGTGACTTGTTGTGCTCATTTTAATTTTGAATGAACTGAGAGACTGATCATTGGTAGATCTTAAAGTCGGCAAAATGGAGGTTAAGATTGTTTTATTTCAGCATATCATGACAAACTTCCAATTGAAACCATCCTGGTGATTTCATCCATTGGAAACCGATTGGATCAGTTGGAGATGGGCGTAGCTAACAAAATAGAAAAAACTGAAAATGGATGAAAGCTGTTCAGAAAAGGACTGATAGTCCCGCCCTAAAGAACTGAGAGTCCCGGCCAAAATAACTGATAGTCCCGCCCTAAAGAACTGATCACCTTAAGGACTGATAGTCCCACCCTAAAAACTGAAAGTCCCGCCCTATATAACTGATAGTCCCGCCCTAAAGAACTGAGAGTCCCGGCCAAAATAACTGATAGTCCCGCCCTAAAGAACTGATCACCTTAAGGACTGATAGTCCCACCCTAAAAAATAAAAGTCCCGCCCTAAATAACTGATAGTCCCGCCCTAAAGAACTGAGAGTCCCGGCCAAAATAACTGATAGTCCCGCCCTAAAGAACTGATTGTCCCGCCCTAAAGAACTGAGAGTCCCGCCCAAAATAACTGATAGTCCCGCCCTAAAGAACTGAGAGTCCCGGCCAAAATAACTGATAGTCCCGCCCTAAAGAACTGATTGTCCCGCCCTAAAGAACTGAGAGTCCCGCCCAAAATAACTGATAGTCCCGCCCTAAAGAACTGATCGCCCTAAATAACTGATAGTCCCGCCCTAAAGAACTGATCGCCCTAAATAACTGATAGTCCCGCCCTAAAGAACTGAGAGTCCCGCCCAAAATAACTGACAGTCCCGCCCTAAAGAACTGAGAGTCCTGCCCAAAATAACTGATAGTCCACCCCAAAAACCTGAAAGTCCCGCCCTAAAGAACTGATAGTCCCGCCCTAAAGAACTGATTGTCCTGCCCTAAAGAAATGACAGTCTCGCCATAAAGGAGTGATAGTCCCGCCCTAAAGAACTAATAGTCCCGCCTTAAATGACTGATAGTCCTGCCCTAAAGGACTGATAGTACCGCCCTAAAGAAATGATAGTCCCGCCCTAAAGGACTGATAGTCCCGCCCTAAAGAACTAATAGTCCCGCTCTAAATGACTGATAGTTCTGCCCTAAAGGACTGATAGTCATACTCAAAGAACTGTTAGTTCGTAATAACGTAATAACTACCAATCATCACAAGATGCTAGTGAAGTCTAGAAGAGATACAGCTGTGCATACTCACATCAATACAGCGGAACGTTTAGGGGATAGGGGTACGACATTAATTAAACACAATTTAATCAGTTATTTATTAAATAATATAATTCATTCATTCATTTTATTTTTGGCTCTGTCCCTTTATTAATCCGGGGTCGCCACAGAGGAATGAACTGCCAACTTATCCAGCAATTTTTTATGCCCTTCCAGCCGCAACCCATCTCTGGGAAACATCCACACACAAACTCATTCACACTCATACACTACGGACAATTTAGCCTACCCAATTCACCTGTGCCGCATGTCTTTGGACTTGTGGGGGAAACCGGAGCACCCGGAGGAAACCCACGCGAATGCAGGGAGAACATGCAAACTCCACATAGAAACGCCAACTGACCCAGCCGAGGCTCGAACCAGTGACTTTCTTGCTGTGAGCCGACAGCACTACCTACTGTGCCACTTCATCTCCCCAAATAATATAAATGATTTCTCCTTATAATTAGTGTTTTTACATTACTGTGAGGGTCTGGATAGTGGTAGACATTAATAAAATTCAATTTAATGAGTAATTCAGTAAATAATTTAATTATTTCTCCTTATAATTAGTGTTTTTACATTACTGTAAAGGTTTTGATAGTTGTAGACGTCAATAAATCACAATTTGATTAGTAATTTGATAAATAACATAATAATTTTTTCTTATAGTTACTGTTTTTGTTGTGACGGTCAGTGAACACCGGAGGGCGCTGTAGTTCACAGACTTTGAGAATTGACTACAGCGCCCAAAAGACTACAAGTTCATACATACCATGCGCATTACACCCATAGACTGTAAAATATATGGACGTAGTATCCGTGACGTCACCCATAGGTTTCTAAAGAGCGCAAAAGAAGCCACAAGTAAACTGCCTTTCTTTATCTAAATCAAAATGCAATAAGAAAATAAGAGCCCTGTTTCAGGAAGATTTTGTTACTGTGCCTTATGTAATGTCATATTGGAATGGTTTTGTGAATGATATTTCCTGGAAGAAAGTTTGGACATTACCCCACAAATTTTTTATAACAAACAAAATAAGAGAAGTTACCTTTAAACTGATTCATAGATGCTATCCAGACAAGTGTAATCTTAAAAGACTTAAGAATGATATTAACACCAACTGTTCATTTAGTGAATCCTGAGACGTCTGTTCATTTATTTTGGACTTGCCCTCATTCAATGACATTTTGGTGTGATGTTTTTGATTTTATAAAAGTTTATGTGAAGGCAGATTTTGAATTTACATATAAGAATGTTATCTTTGGTTTCCATGATTGTGAAAAGGAAAATAATACCTATTTCATGAACCTTGTTTTTTTGTTGGCCAAATTTCATATTCACAAGAGAAAGTTTTGCAAGTGTAAACCTTTTTTCCCTAAATTTAAAATTGAAATGAAAATGTATTTTGAGTGTATTGAAGGATCAACCAACTTAAAAGCAATACGAACGAGGACTTTGATTAAGGACTTGGCACTTATCTTGGACTAAATGACTAAAAACCCCTGGATTGTTGCTGTTTGATTCATGACATTTGTTGTTATTGTTTTTCAAGCATTCAATAAAAAAAAAAAAAAAAAAAAAAAAAGAAGTCACAAGTAGGCGCGGCCAACCGTCGCCATTTTGGTCACGCGTCATCACACCCACGGCGGGATACCAAACAAGGGCAAAGAGGCGGAGAGTGGGCGGAGCTACAGACACCTGCTAGCATTTAGCTTGGACCTGGCTCAGACACTCTTTACTTTGGGAGAAATGCTTAATACTTTATCACCTGTGACTCGTTTGTATTCTGACCACTTGTGCTTGGTTGTACACTATATCAATAAAGTGTTTAGACTTATAAAAACACTGCTGTAATACACAAAGCCACTAAACATTGTTCTTATGACGTTTTTCAACAGGAGGAAAACGCAAATTACTTCCAAACACTTCAGATATAGTCTGTGTTAGTTACTGTAAGACTATTGATGAACTCCAGCATAACACTGTATGACAACGCTTCAGATGACTGATCTGGGGTCCGTTCTTCGTTCCTCGCTTAAATGATCTAAGATTATTTGGCAGATCCTGGATCTTTTAATCTTGATAACTGATCTTTCGCTAATTTGGTTCTTCAAACAAGTTCGCGAATCAGATTAGAATGTCTGGATAAACTGATCTGAGATCGCTGCGTGTGTTGTGAAGGACAGATCTATCGATCCTCGAAATCATGATCAGCAATGCAACGATTGGCTGACGGCACAGCAGCGTAATGACATCATCTGATTAATATTCAATTATCCATGTGAGCAAAATTACATCAAATTCGCAGTAAACGGCTTGTTAAATATGACACGCAATAACCTTCCACATTTGTTGTGAGCTGCAGGCTTTACACTTTCATGTGTCAAGAGTATTCATCATGTATTTCAATGCAAATCAATGCATTTAGTTTTACATTTAGAAAAGATTTTCTTTATTATAGTAGGCGTTTTTTAATTGGTGTAAAGAATAACTGGTTGTTTACAAAAGCATTTTCATATTGGTAAAGGTGCCTGCAACTTTTGTGAAGCATCAAATCACCGGCATATTAACTGTCAAAACATGTTTATGTATGCATAAATGTATTATTGCTTAAAAAAAATAGTCACATATAATGCATTTCTATTATACACAATTTGTACTAAAGCGATCTAAAAAGTTCATATCAAAGTTTTCTCTTTGCACCACCAGGTGGCAGTCTTTGTACTTTCATTTCGAGGGTGCAGATTGCATACGTTTTATTAATATGTATAACTTTATTTATTTTATTAATGACTATAACTTTATATATATATAGTTTAAAAATATGTATCATTTTCCCAAGTGTATATAACTACTACTGTAAGAAAATATCAGAATTCAGAACATACTTTCTGTATTATCTTTGCTTGAACTAAGCCGATCTAATCCTGTTTATATGAATTGAACCTGCTCCCGATCAGGTTTGACCTAGCAGAACTGTTGCTATGACAACAACTCTCGGATCAGCTTCTAAGAACGAAACGATCCTGGATCGTGTCAAATCGTCAACATCCAAATCCAGCTAATTGAGTAATCCACGTACGAAGAACGGACCCCTAGAGCCTACAGCTAATCAATCCAACAGATTCTGGAGTGCATTACAGCTCTAAATATAAATATAAACGATAAATGATCTTAAATAAAACAAATACGTGTATAGAGATGGTATATAAGTGTATAACTTTACTTACATGGGAAACGGAGGCCACGTGAATGGTTTGTGAGCACAATTAAGTGCACTCAGCATGCCATGCCATCTAATAATTGTAGGAAACAAGTCCAAAAGGCAGTTGACTGTGTAAAGCCACATAAAACAACACAGAAATACGATAAATATGCCGAGTTCTGTGGCTAAACTGCAGGATTCAGCTGAGGTGACGTGACGGCGACCAACGAGACCTAGCTGTCACTCAAGTGGCCACGCCCTTAATTATGCAAACTTATTATAACTTAATATAAAGGAAACGGATGAGTTATGAACCCCCCCCCACCCCCCCCCACAGGTGTCATGATGGGTAATATTAGCTGTATTAACCAAAATCTTTTTCTGTACCAGGCTGTAAACACCTTTTGTTCTGCTGTAAAGTTGGCCATTCTAACAGTGGGCTCAATTGATATTTGCTCTGTTTTGGAGCCAGGAGCAGCCAGGGGTCCGTTCTTCGTACGTGGATTACTCAGTTAGCTGGATTTGGATATTGACGATTTGACACGATCGAGGATCGTTTCGTTCTTCAAAGCTGATCCGAGAGTTGTTATCATAGCAACAGTTCTGCTAGATCAAACCTGATCGGGAGCAGGTTCAATTTATATAAACAGGATTAGATCGGCTCAGTACAAGCAATATACTACAGAAAGTAGTTCCGAATTCTGATATTTTCTTACAGTAGTAGTTATATACACTTGGGAAAAGAGTAAATATTTTTTAAACTATATATATATATATATATATATATATATGTAAAGTTATAGTTATTAATGAAATAAATAAAGTTATCTATATTCAGTGGCGCAAAAAGGGGGTATGCAGTATATGCGGCGCATAGGTGCGCCACACATGGGGGGGGCGCCATTGTGCCAAAACTATTTTAAAAATTATCCTCATTAAAAGTTTTCAATAATAAAAATAAATAAATATGTTTTGTTAAAAAACATTATTTTGCATTTTATACAAATATAACATTGTTATTGTTTAATTCAAAATCATTTAACACAATAACATGCAGTCACACAGCCTAGAGTGTTCATGTAGATGTAACTGTTTAGATTTGTTTTTATTTTTATCAAAATAAACTGTCAAATCATACATAATGTCAAAAGTTTTAAGGTTAATCTGAAAATTTGTCTTCATTTATTATTAATTAATTAATTTAATTATTAGTTTGCCAAAATAAGAGGGATCACACAAAATTTGAACCCGCATACCCCTCAGTAAATGTTTAGTTGCGCCCCTGTCTATATTAATAAAATTTATGCAATCTCTACTCTCGAAATGAAAGTACAAAGACTGCTACCTGGTGGTGCACAGAGAAAACTTATTGATATGAACTTTTTAGACCGCTTAGTACAAATTGTGTATAATAAACATGCACAATGTGATTTTTTTAAAGCAATAATTCATTTATGCAGTCAAGAACATGTTTTGATAGTTAATATGCCAGTGATTTGATGCTTCACAAAAGTTGCAGACGCCTTTACCAATATCAAAATGCTTTTGTAAACAACCAGTAACTCTTTACACCGATTAAAAAACCGGCTACTACAATAAAGAAAATATTTTCTAAATGTAGAACTAAATAAATTGATATGCATTGAAATACATGATGAATACTCTCGACACATGAAAGTGTAAAGCCTGCAGCTCACAACAAATGTGGAAGGTTATTGCGTGTCACATTTAACAAACGGTTTACTGCTAATTTGACGTAATTTAGCTCACATGGATAATTGAATGTTAATCAGATGATGTCATTACGCTGCTGTTCCGTCAGCCAATCGTTTCATTGCTGATCATGATTTCGAGGATCGATAGATCTGTCCTTCACAACACACGCAGCGATCTCAGATCAGTTCATCCAGACATTCTAATCTGATTCGCCAACTTGTTTGAAGAACCAAATTAGCGAGAGATCAGTTATCAAGATTAAAAGATCCATGATCTGCCAAATCATCTTAGATCATTTAAGCGAGGTACGAAGAACGGACCTCTGGACTAGCGGAATTTCGGATGAATTTTAGTTTTAGTTCCGTATTGGCTTCCTGAGGGAGAGCGGGAGGTTGCCGCTTGATTACACCCGGTCCACGTACACTGATTGGCTCACAGCTGTTACTGTTTCCTGTTAATTTCCTGGACTATTTATACAACCATTTCACCTCTGTTTGTCACAGCGTCGTTTGTCTTCCTTGTCGTTCGTGGCCCCAGTTCTAGTAAGTCTTGCTACCGAGTTTTTTGATCTTGTTCTTGTATTTTTTTGCTAAAGTCTAACGTTAGTTTGTAAAGTTATTGTTTCTGAGCCTTGTCTCTGTTTTAGTTTCTAGTTTGGTCATTTGTTTGTTACTTTGTATTTTGATCACCTTGTTTGTTGCACTGTAAACAAATCTGCACTTGGATCCGCACCTTTTTGTTTTTGTTCCTGTTTTGATCACGCTAACGTGACAGTTTTTAAATTACTGTGAGGGTTGGGATAGGAATAGAGGGTAATAAAATCAAATTTAATTTGAAAATCAAATTCAATTTATCAGTCATTTATTAAATAACTATTTCTCCTTATGATTAGTGTTTTTACATTACTGTGAAGGTTTTGATAGTTGTAGACGTTAACGAAACACAATTTAACCAGTAATTGAATTATATTTCATCATAATGAATAATATTTATCGCTATAATTAGTGTTTTTACATTACTGTGAGGGTTGGTGTAGTAATAGACATTAATAAAATAAAATTTGAATAATTCAGTAAATAGAGTATTTCTCCTTATAGCTAATTACTGTTTTTACATTACTGTGAGGGTTTTGATAGTTGTAGACATTTAATAAAACACAATTTAATCAGTAATTGGATTATTTCATCATAATGACTTTTTTTATAATACTGTGAGGGATGGGAAAGAAATAGACGTTAATAAAATAAAATTTAATAATTCAGTAAATAATTTGAGTACTTCTCCTCCTTATAATTACTGTTTTACATTACTGTGAAGGTTTTGATAGTTGTAGATGTTAATAAAGCACAATTTGATCAGTAATTGAATAATTCACATAATTATTTCACCATATAATTTGTGTTTTTACATTACTATGAACGTTTTGATAGCTGTAGACGTTAATAAAACACAATTCAATCAGTAATTTAATAAATAACACCATTATTACTCCGCCGCAGCTGTATCCCTTCTAGCAGCAACCTGATGCTACAGAGGATCCGCACCCATGATCCTCCACGGCGAGTCACATGACCATGACATTAAAGCGGAAATGACAGTTAGCGCTCCACAGTCTCACGGCGAATAAAAGGTAGGAATCAAAACATTTCCGATGTGTTTTTATAACCAGAAAGACGGTTACACTACGTATAAACCTATCCGCGTTTATAACGCGCTTTTCCAGGACGATTTCAACTACACCGCGACTTTTTATTCCTGAATGACGAGCGGCTAATCAAACAGCGTCACTGTCTCTCACATCATGCGACATTTAACCACACATTACGACCGGTCACGATTATTAATTCACCTCATATGTTTTTAATTCTGGGTGGACACATATGGTTGGTTATAACCAGCTGTAAACAGCAATTTAGGCTAAATTCTTGGTTTGTTTTTGTCTCAGCTAAACCAGAACCTGCTATATGAAGCTGACAGACGTCGAATATCGCTGTATTATATTATTAAACCAATCACTGTAGCTTATTTAATCTATTTAGGTGATTTCTGTTATTAATTTGATGTTGATTTAACAGTATTAAGCTGTGTGTGTGTGTGTGGTGCACCAGAGTGTTTATGTTGCGTCAGAGTGTTTATGTTGTGCTTTATTATACCCCAATGATTAATATTCAGCATTTCAGTCATAATTCTGATGCTGTTTGTGATTCAGGGCTGTGATGTGATGTGCTGTGACGATGGCAGCTGCCAGTGTGTCTCAGTCTGCCAGCATTCAGGCCATAGAGAAATCACAGCTGACCTTGAAAGGTAAGAAAAGCTGATTTATTTGTGATTAATCTGCTTTAACTTGATTAATAAGGAGATCTGATGAATCTTTTGTGGTTTATCAGCTGCTGTGACGCATCAGTCTGCAGCATCAGACCTCAGCATGTGTTTTTGCAGTGAGCTTTGTGTCCTCTAGAGGGTGATGTGCGCTGAATAATAACTGCATAACTGTGTGTGTGTGTGAGAGATGCTGGATCATGTCAGGACACATTTGCGCACATTTCCTGGTTGATGGAATATTCCTTACGGGAATCCAGATCATAAATGTTTCTGGTGAATTGATGGAGTTGTGCATTCTTGGCGCTTATTAATGTGTCGTAAGTCTGCCTAAAGGGATAGTTCACCCCAAAAGTAAAAGTTTCCTGTTAGTTTACTCACCCACAGACATCTTTGATGGTCTTTGGCGACTCTTTTTACTCATTAAAGAAGACTTTTTCGCTGAATCTGACTCTTGGTGATTTTTATATAATGGCAGTGAATGGTGACTGGTTTTGGAGATTAAAAATGAACACTTACAAACAATTCTAAATCAATAACCGTGGCTCCTGAAGACACGCTGAGGTCTTGTGAAGCAAAGTGATCAATCAGTGTAAGAAATTAAACATTATTTATAAGATTGCTATTATTAACTTTGATCCACAGCCTGGTCAAACAGATATCGGCGCATGTCTGAATGTAGTCCGACTGTTGTCTGTTTGTAATGAGCGGACTACATTCACATGTGCATCGAGACCTGTTTAACCAGACTGTGTCAGGTTTTTGTCCTTAAACTGCTCCTTTTAGTTCTTTACGCTCTTCCAAATCCGTACCAGATCTCATCCAAAGCCTTCTGTTGTGTTTTGATGTGATTTTTGACCATCGTAGCTGTGAGATGAAATGGCTGCTATCATTCAGCGTAGTGATACAGAGCCGTAATTAGGTTGCAGATTATTAAAATGTCTATTTCAGAGGTCGCCACAAAATGAACCCCCAGTTTCAGCATATGTTTTACGCAGTGGATGCCCTTCCAGCTGCAACCCAGTATTGGGAAACACCCATACACTCATTCACACACACTCGTACACTAAGGCCAATTCGGTTCATTCAGTTCCCCTATTGCGGATGTGTATGGGGGAAACAGGAGCACCCGAAGGAAACTAATGCCAACTGACCCAGCTGGGTCTCGAACCAGCGACCTTCTTGCTGTGAGGCCCCAGTGCTAACCACTGAGCCACTGTGCTGCCCTTTTTAATTAATGTTTATGATTGTTTTGTTGATTTCCAACACTAACTGTATTGCACCCAAAACCTGCCGGAAGCACTTTAGCTGTGTGTTTATTTGAAAATAACCGCACACCTCAGAATGCTCATTAGCCAATGAGAATCAAGCATTCAAAATCCCTGGAGTATATGTTATATTTAAGTCTTAAAACTTCGTGTTCCCTCAATGTTCTCTTTCTCACTGAAGTTGTTTTGATTGAAGTGTTCATCGTCTTCTCCTCATCTGCTAGTGTTGTCTGCGAAGCCTCAGTCTCCTAAACTGCCCAATCGTCACTCTCGCCTGAGTTCATTTGTGGAAGTGACCGCCGACGGCCTGAGCAGCGAGACCAAGAAAACGGGCAAACGCAGCGGACACCTCGAGCTGCAGTGGAATGAAGACCTCACACTGTAAGCCTTCACGCGTCACTTTTCATTGAAGAATATAATATTTAAGAAGTGCCATGAAAACTGATTAATTCATCATCATGATGATCATTTTAATAACTCATTTCTAATAATGGATTTATTTTATCTTTGCCATGATGAGAGTAATTAATATTTGACTAGATATTTTTCAAGACACTTCTATACAGCTTAAAGTGACATTTAAAGGCTTAACTAGGTTAATTAGGGTAACTAGGCGAGTTTGGGTAATTTGGAAAATTATTGTATAACGATGGTTTGTTCTGTAGACTATCACGAAAAAAATTAGCTTAAAAGGGCTAATTTTGTTCCTAAAATGGTGTTTAAAAAAAATTAAAACTGGATTTATTCTAGCCGAAATAAAACATAAGACTTTCTCCAGAAGAAAAAATATTATTAGACATACTGTGAAAATTTCCTTGCTCTGTTAAACAACATTCAGGAAAATATTTTAAAAAAGAAGAGAAAAATTTGAAGGGGGTGAATAGTACTGACTTCAACTATATTATAAAAACTCTCCCTTTACCATTTAACTTGCTCAGGTTACTAGCGCATCCTCGTCTTAATTGACCAACTTAGTCCTTATACGTAACTTACGTGTGTGTGTGTGTATATATATTTTTTTCCTAACGTGTGTGTGTGTGTGTGTGTGTGTGTGTGTGTGTGTGTGTGTGTGTGTGTGTGTGTGTGTGTGTGTGTGTGTGGTGCAGGAACGTGACTCCTCAGAGTCGTCTGGATCTGAAGGTGTGGAGTTGTCACACTTTGAGGAAGGAGCTTCTGGGCAGCGCCACCATCGACTTGTTGGACACTCTACGAACACATGATGGCAAGAGTGAGTTTAAACCCACACAAACACACACGGATACTCACTCTCACATGCACTGACACACGCTTGCACACTAACTCTCACAGACAAGCACAGATGCAGAGATCTGTTTGTTGGTTTAGAGCAGGGGTCACCAATCCTGGTCCTGGAGGGCCGGTGTCCCTGCAGGGTTTTGCTCCAACTTGCCTCAACACACCTGCCTGGGTGTTTCAAGTATACCAAGTAAGAGCTTGATTAGCTCGTTCAGGTGTGTTTGATTAGGGTTGGAGCAAAAATCTGCAGGACACCGGCCCTCCAGGAACAAGTTTGGTGACCACTGTTTTAGAGAAATAATGACAGATTATGGCAGAGTTTACGCTGCAGGGTTTAAGTGACTTAATTCAGATTTTTTTTTTTCTGCATGTGGCACAGATCGGATATGAGAGCGAGAGCACTATCCACCACATAACCAATGTAAACTGATAAAACTATTGCATGCATCACGTGCACATATTACGCCATGGACATGACATTAAGATGCCTACTCGTTTAAAAAGGCCTAGATTAAAAGAAGATGGCCAAATCTTTTCTGTCAAACTATTGGAAAGCAACTTGTCAAAAATAATAATAAATAAATGAAACTCTGCAAACAGATTAAATAAAAGAATAGAGAAAAGAGCGCTTTTTCATTATCAGCTGTCAGTCAGCGTCCGAATTTTTTTTAATTATTTTTTTTTTTGCGCAGTGTAAATGCAGAGAACCGTTCAGGAGTCACTTCTAAAAGATGATGTGAGCAGAAATGAAAAAAAAATCACATACAGTCACAATCGTATTGACCATCAAGATCTGCAGTGTAAGTGCAGCCAATGTAATGAGTGAACCTTTTTTTTTTTTTTTTTTTTTTCCCCACTTGATTTAAAGGCCTCTCGAGGTGCGTGAGGAGCAACTTCACTAATATCTGAGAACACTGACCCTGATGCTCTTTATTAAATAGATTGATTTGTTTTAAGTTCTGGGAATAACGGTCTGTTGTGCAGGTTTGGTGTGTAATTAATACTGGAGTGTTCTGATATGATCCGGAAGGGTTTAGCAGATCACTCCGCGCGGTTAGGCCCAGAGTTTTTTTGGGGGTAAAGTGGGTAAAGATGTTTCTGAGTCAGTTTTGTGCTTGCAGAAAAGCAGAGAAATGCTGCGTGATGGCGTTTTTAAGACTGTCAGCCTTATTTCCTTAGTTTGGGCTTTTTCTGTTTATTGGCTTATTTATTTTATTTGTTTTGTTTGGTGTGTTTTGGTCAAAGAAAAGAAATCACCACTTTAATGTTTGCAAACTTTTATAGCTATAAAACCAACAATCCATCTATAAAAACACTGTTAACAAAAGTAATATTGTTAGTATTGTTCAGTTCAATTCAGCTTTATTTGTATATTGCTTTTACAATGTAGATTGTGTCAAAGCAGCTTCACATAAATGGTCATAGTAACTGGATCAGGGTAGTTCAGTTTTTAGTGTTTAAGTTCAGTTTTAAGTTCAGGTTAGCTCAGTTCAGTGTGGTTTGAAATCATTACTGAGTCCATACACTGAAGGGTAAATTCATTGAGTAGCTTTTCAGATCCTGAACCATGCAAGCCAGTGGCGACAGCGACTTATCATCCTTACAATAACATTTGTTTCAAAGTTCTCCCTGTATTTATGCATTTATGTTTGTTGTGAATAAATTTTAGTTTATACTTTTTAAAACTTATGGTAATAAAAAAAAAAAAAACCACACACACACACACACACACACACACATCCAAGAGCAAACATTCCCAATAAATTCCAAAAAGTATTACTTTTTTTGGTCGTTTAGTTTTTTGAAACAAGTAGTAACACATATTTAATATTTTGAGAGATTTACAGTAAGAATAGTGATTTGAAATACTGAGAATAAAGCACTATAATAAGTTCTACGAATATTTCAACAATGCTCTGATTAAAATAAAGCATTATTTTGGAATTTTCTCTCAGCTTCAAAATGTCCTTTTTTTTTTTTTTTTTTTTAAATAGTTTTTGAAACTAAAACATATATATTTATTATACATTTTATATATAAAACTATGTTTTGACACTATTTAAAATGTGGCTTAAATTTCAATTTTTTTAATAGGGCATGTAAATTATCCACTGCCCATTACAAAGAAAAATGTTAAAGTTTTGTTCTGCAAGTCTTAAAAGGTCTTAAAGTCTTTGTGAAACCTGCAGAAAGCCTGATATAGAAAGCACTTTGAATTAATGCGTGGCTTTTTTTTTTAAGGTTTCAAATGGGTTATGTGATTTTTTTTAAATGTCAAAATATCCAGGAAATGATATTCCAGCTGTACACTTATTTCTGTTCTGATGAAAGCTCATACTTTTCTCTGACGTGTTCCTACTGAAATGTATTTAAAGTTTGATCATATTTGAAATCATGAAAAGCTTCATCAAATGGGTCCACAAATAAAAAATCTTTAATCTTTTATAATGTTCAGCAAATTGAGTTTTGCTATGAAAAATGTTTTTGTTGCTAAAGCACCTGTGATGTTAACATTAAAATAGAACCTGTGAAAACAAATGACAAATCAGAGACTAAAAACAAAAACGAAACAACAGTATATTTAACAGTCAAGATTTAAGCTTTCCTTTATTGCAAATTAGGATTCAGTGTGTGTATGCACGAGCGTGCATGAGTGCGTGTGTGCATTCATGTGCGTGCATTGGAGTGTTTGTGCACTTGTTCATTGCGTTCGTGTGTGCAAGTGCTTGTTCGTGCGTGTGCATGTCTTCATGCATGTACATTCGTGTGTGTGCGTGTTCGTGCATGTTTGGGTGTGCATTTGCGCAAGTGTGTGTTTGTGCACGCATGCATACGTGCATGTTTGTACATGTTTATGCATGGGCGTGCATGTGTGAGCGTATGCGTTTGTGCATGTTAGTGTGTGTGTGCGCATTGATGTTTGAGTGAGCACAAGCGTATGAGCATTTACGTGTGTGCGTACATGCATTTGCATGTGTGCGCATGTGCATACATGTTCATGTATGCGTGCGTGTGCATACATGTTCAAGCGAGTGTGTGTGCATGCATGTGTTTATAAGCACATCACTAATGTTTTTATTGGTCTACCTTTTTTTTTTTTTAATGACAGGCATCAATGTATTGTTCTGCTAGTGCTAAACAATTAGTTTCATCGCCTAATTCACATAATACCCCCCCTCTTTCTCTCTCTCTCTCTCTCTCTCTCTCTCTCTCTCTCTCTCTCTCTCTCTCTCTCTCTCTCTCTCTCTCTCTCTCTCTCTCTCTCAGTGGAGAACGTTCAGCTCAGTCTGGTTCTGCAGACGGAGAACAAAGGCTCGGTTGTAGCAGGCGGTGAGCTCAACGTCTGTCTGGACGGCCTGGTTGTTGATCTGGGATCTTTGCCCAATGGCAGCGCCGCCTCAGACAGTGAGTCCCCTTCACTGGCACACACACATGCACACTTCATAGGGAACACTGCTAGAACACACAGAACAAACGCATGAACAAGCGCACATTGATGAGGCTGTGCTGGACAGAGCGGGTTTGAGCCTCACAGAGAGCTTTTCTCCTGTGTGTGTGTGTGTGTTCAGATTTTCTCCTGCAGGTCACAGGGTTTATTGACAACCACAAACTCAATCTGTTCACACACTCGCTCGGGGTGGAGAGGAAGTCGTTCTCTTACTTTCTTACTGGAGGAGAAAAAGACACCGTTTACTTTACAGTCCAAAAAGTGTGGTGGAGTTATGATTAAAACAAAAGTGTGTTTGAAAGTTTAAAATAGTGCTTATTTTAAAATGTTGTTCCTGTACAAAGCTGCCTTATATTTTAATAATTGTTTTAGTTATGACTTAAGACCATTTCAAATGGATTACCTTTAAACCTTTAAATTTTTTTTTTAACCGATTTAAAATGATTTTGGTTTAAAAACCTTGAAATATGGTGATGTCAGGGTACACAAAGTATTTTAGCTGCTTGGTTAAACCACTTGTTTAAAATGAGCTCAAACACAATTATTGAGTTTTTAGAGTCAACTTGTTTTTGTTAAACTTAAAATTTAAAAAAAACATTAAGTTAATTTGATCAATTTGCATTGAGACAAGATTGAACCCAAGGAATTGTTGAACCCAATGTATTACAGCAAAGAAAGAAAGAGAACGAAAGAAATTAAGGTATGATTTGGAGTCCAAAAAGTGTGGGATAATTATGGTTAAAGTGTTTAAAAGAGGTCTTGTAGAGCATAAGCAGTGATTTATTTTAAAATGTTGTTCCTGTATAAAGGAGCTGTCACTATATTAATTTTTTTTTATGTAGTGACCAAACATTTGTAATTGTAATTATATTTCACAATAGTAAGTCTTTACTGTACATTTAAACAGGTTTTAAAACTTAAAACTATTTAAAACATTTTCAAACACAAACCAATAAATTTTAAACCTTTTAAAACAGTTCAAATTTACAACCTTTTCTGTTAAAAAATCTAACTTAAAACCATAAATTAAAGACACATTTTATAAGCACTATAAAATTAAAACCCTTTCCTACTTGAAGTTTCAAATTAAAATCCATTGCAAATTTCAAATCTTTAAGTAAACATTTTTAAACAAACTTAAATGTTAAAAGTCTATTTAAACAGTGTCTTTTAGACCAGTCAAGGTTAATAAGTCTTTAAAAATGTCATTTAAGTAATCATTTCTCGAGCTGGGATTTGAACTCAGGATGCCCTGATGTGCTACTGTACAATATGTCGGCATGCTAATCTCTAGGCTATTGCACCGACTATTTGTCCACATTTATGCTGAATGTTAAAATGGTGAATCTTACTGATTGGATCAGAGCTGCTTAAAATTGTTTCAAGTTAAAATTAAAATAGTGCATTTTAAATGGTTTTAAGGTTTAACACTTTTACAATGGAAAGGACTTAAAAGTTCAAGCTACTTTAAATTTAGAATAGTTTAAAGGGTAAATCTTTTAGTTTAAAAAGTTTATTGATTGACACCACTTTAAGTATGATTTATTCTAAAAGTTGTATTACGTTAAAAGGTTTACAAATTTCAAAACATTTTAAACTTGAAACCTTTTTAAGAATTAATTGTTTTTACACCTAAAATCTGCCGAGAGATATTTTGACGATTTATACTTGATGTTAAAATGGTAAATTTTACAGTTTGGCTTAGAGCTGCTTAAAATTGTTTGAAATGGTTTCAAGAGTAATGGGTTTTGGTTGAAATGTTGTTAAGAGAATGTTTTGCTTTTTAAGGTTGTAAAGGTTTTAAATCGAAAGGACTTTAAGTTTTAGATTTAAGTTACTTTAAATTTACAATAGTTTTAAGGTTAAAAGTTTTAGGCCTATAAACACCATTTTAATTATGACTTTTTCTTTAATGTTTTAAGCTTAAAGGTTGTATTAATTAAAGTTTGAGATTTTAAATTGCTTTAAGTTGAGGTTTAAATGTTTTAACTCCAATGAAGTATTAAATTTGTCAATTAAAACTAAAAAGTCATTTTAAATAGTAGAACTGTAACGGTTTAAAGGTCATGTAGATTAAGCTGATAGATCTCAAACAATTGTCTAATACTGAATAAAATACATTTTATTACACTGTTTCTGTTGTTGTTTAATTAAATGTGTATTTGTTTTCACCCTCAGTTAAAAAAAAATAGATTTACATTAGTGTTAACAATCCTTGTTGCAAATGTAAAACCCAGAAACATTAAAACTTTTCCAAATTTTACCACAAAAGGCACTGTAAGACACTTTGAAGCTTAGCAAGTTTGAGCACAAGTTAAGGAGTGTGTGTATATTTGTGCGTGTGCATATGTGTGTGTGTGACAGTCTTTCTCCAGGCCTGTACACAAAGGCCTGTTTATGTAGCGTGTGTGTGTGTGTGTGTTTGAGAAGAAAGCTGCCAGGGGAAATGAGGGAAAACATTAAACCAACAAGAGCGACTTGAGAGTGAACAGAGGACCCTAACAGACCTTCACACACTCCAACCTTTATCCACCACTGAAGGTCAAACACAAACTTACATACTCAAAAAAACACTCCAGATCTGGAGAGTCCAGCAAGCTAAAAGATGAATCTGACAGACCGTCACAAAGCCTGCTGCTGTTCTGGTAAATCGAGTCAGAGAGAACATTAATGCAAAACAGCCTGTTTATTAAGTGTGTGTGTGTGTAACTGAAACAAATTAAGATGAAATCACTGAAACGCACAACAAAACCAAAAGCAGCAGATTATTCGTCTTCAGAAATGACTGAGCCCTTTATACAAAAATTTAAGCACCGAAATTGTATTGGTGATTCCTAGTTAACCTTATATTGCAGCATTTATTCTTTTTCTTGTGGACATTTTTGCGTGCGAAAGTGTGAACCCTTTTTTATTTTAAATTAAAAACAAATATCATGTTGTCTTTAAATGTTTTTGTAAAATGTGTTTTTATTCTTAAACGTTTAAAAGTACAAATAAAAAAAAATTCTTTAAATTCGAGTATTTCCCATTTACTTGACTAAAGAATTGGATTTAAGAGGACTTTGTTGAATCAAATTTTAACCTTGTTGAATAAAAACTATTTCAAATATAGTGTTTTTTTTTTACAAATTTTAAACCTTTTAACCTGAAACTATTTTCATCTTCGATTATTTCAAATGTAGTTTTAATTTTAAAACCTTTTAACTTGAAACAATTTTAATGTGCTAATCCAATTTAAAAAATGTAATCTTCCAATATTATGTACTTTTGAATTTTTAAAATGTTTTTTATCATTATTTATATACCTCTAAAAATACAAATAATAATAAAGGCTTTTTTGTTTTTCTTAATGGACAACTGAGCTGGAATTAAGAGGCAGGACTTTGTCAAATCAAGTTCTTTGTTTTTTGGCAAATGTCTGAAACATAGCCAGTCTGATAAAAGATACCTGAAAGAAAAGAAAATGATTTTGCCCGCATCTTTCAGTTGGGTGTTTATGTATAAACATGCTTATTGTTTATCTCATAGGTAATATTTAAATAAACCAAAATATGGCTGCAGTCAGTTACCAAAACCTACTTAAGGTAGTAAAGATAGCCTAGTTTTAAACTTCTCAGTTGAAGGGAATGATTTGTAACACTTTTACCCTTAACCATTTCAAATGTAGTGTTTTAAAATATTTTAACTCGAAACTATTTTAATCTTAAAAAGAATTTTGAGTCTATTTTATTTTAAAAACCTTTTTAACTGAGAACTTTTTTTTTTTTTTTTTTTTTTTTTTTTTTTTTAATCATCAAACCATTTAAATGTACTGTTCTATTTTAAAAACCTTTGAACTTATAATGGTTTTAACTTTAAATGTACTGTTTAAATCTTAAAACCATTTAACTTGAATCGATTTTACCCTAACCATTTCAAATGTAGTGTTTTTTTTTATTTTTAAAACCTTTTAACTTGAAACTATTTTAATCTTACAAACCCTTTCGATTACACAGTTTTAATTGTAAAACCTTTTAACTTGAATTGATTTTAACTTTAACCATTTCAATTGTGCTGTTTTGTTTTTAAAACCTTTTAACTTGAAACAATTTTAACCTTAACCCTTTCAAATGTACTGTTTTAATTTTAAAACCCTTTAATTTAAATCAATTTTAACCTTAACCCTTTCAAATGTACTGTTTTAATTTTAAAACCCTTTAATTTAAATCAATTTTAACATTAAACTATTTCAAATGTACTGTTTTAATTTTAAAACTTAACTTTAGATGATTTTAACCTTAACCATTTCAATTGTGCTATTTTGTTTTTGAAACCTTTTAACTTTATGCCATTTTAACCTTAACCATTTAGAGTGTACTGTTTTAATTTTAAAACTTTTGTAACCTGAATGATTTTAACCTTTTAAAACTATTTCAAATGAACTGTTTTAATTTTAAAACCTTTTAACTTGAAACAATTTCAATCTAAAATTGACTTCAAATTTAAAAGACTTAAATTTCAGACTTATATCTGTCAGCTTGTTCTTGTTTAATTATCTAACATACAGTAATATTTTATGAAATGCGGGTATGTTAATACAGGTGTTTGTGTCAGTAATGTTTACACCACAGCTTCGTTGTTGCTTTCAGATGAGCTCTGACAGACTCTTCTGTATGATGAATGTGAATCAGCTCTTCTTCTTCAGATTTTCTGTATTTTTGTTTTTCCTCTGCAGAGATTCACTCGAGCAGGTCCAGTCTCCATCGGGCTCACAGTGAAGAGACCCCCAGCACCAGCAGCCCCCGTGGACGGTCAGCCTAAACAGCTTTTCATCATTTCCCCCATCACTTATGCTGGAGATCATTTATGAAAATATAAACCTTCAAAGCATTTTCCAAACAAGCATGGCTGGCAAACAAACAAACGTATAAATGTAGGAAATGTAGGTGTTAACCATTATCTATTCCGTGTTTGATGCCAAATAGAGGCTTTATCTTCGGGCAGGCGTTTTGTGGGCATGTTGCAGGAGATGCCCTAAAAATACTTGCTAAATGCTGTAATTAAGCTTATTTTCTCTGTTTGTGTGAGGTTAAGGAAGCATAACAGGAAATTCACAGAAATAACCAGCATGCTTATATACTGTCATGAGGCTGATGGTTTTATTTTTACTTATGTAGCTGTTTATTGCAAATTCCAAATTTACATACTGATCAAATATAAATGCACAATATATACAAATATAAAGAAATATAAATAAATAAATGTATGAATAAATAATTAAAAAAAAAATCAAATTGATATAATAAATAAATAAATGAATATAAAATAAATGCAAATAAATAAAATAAATAGAAATAAATGCAAATAATTATAAATATAAAAAAATAACAATTAATAAATATAAATGAATGCAAATAAATAAAAATAAATAAGCATAATACAATGTAAATAAATATGAATAAATAAATGTAAATGCATGCAAATTAATATGATTAAATAAATACAAATAAATATAAATAAATGCAAATACATATAAATAAATAAATAAATAGATGCAAATCAATATAAATAAGTAAATAAATGAATAAATAAAATAAATAGAAATAAATGCAAATAATTATAAATATAAAAAATAACAATTAATAAATATAAATGAATGCAAATAAATAAAAATAAATAAGCATAATACAATGTAAATAAATATGAATAAATAAATGTAAATGCATGCAAATTAAATAAATACAAATAAATATAAATAAATGCAAATACATATAAATAAATAAATAAATAGATGCAAATCAATATAAATAAGTAAATAAATGAATAAATAAACAAATAAATCGAAATAAATATATTTATTTATTCATTCATTTATTTATAAGTAAATTCAAATAAATAAAAATAAGTAAATAAATTAATACATAAATGCATATAAATTAATAGATAAATAAATAAATAAACAAATAAAATATTAATAAATAAATGAATAAATGCAAATGAATATAAATAAATAAATAAATAAATACAAAGAAATATAAATAAATGCATAAAAATAAATGCAAAGAAATATAAATAAGTTAATGAATCAATAAATATAAATAAACCTAATAAAATGCTAATAAATATAAATAAATATAAGTAAATGCAAATTAATATAAATACATAAATAAATGAATGAATAAATATAAATAGAAAAATAGATAAATAAATAAACGAGTTCATACAAAAATTACATGAAGGATTCAAAGGCCTCATAAAAACAATGTGCTCATAATTGTTAGTATACGATCAAACCGAAATCAGAAAATAGTGATTTGTTGCTTTTCAATTACATTTCACTTCTGTACTTTTACTTTTCAACCCATATTGTGGCACCCACACGAGTGTTTCTGATCTGATACTGAGGTTTATTTCCAGAAGTTTGGGTCAGTCGTCTCGGGGCTCGTGTGGAGATTCTCCAGCTGAGATCCAAGGAGCTGCTCTTACTAATGGAGACGTGAACGGAGCATTGGCAGAAACAACATCCAGACACAACTCAAAGACCACAGTCAACAACCTGAGCAGTGCCGGTCAGATATACACACACACACACACACGTTTACACATGCAAACATACATTACAACAATATTGCATTTCCAGCATCCTGCAGCCCTAGTTTGAGAGTATTCCCTAGAAAAATGTTTTTTTTTATTATTAGCTTTATTTTGACATCATTCTTTTATGTTATGATATTAAAATAAACAGGTGAAAGATTTTTCAGATCTAATTCAGGTGTAAACATCACCTCAGGAGATATTCTGATTAGCTGTCATTTTCCCTTCTCGTCTCGACTCCCGCCATTAGGGTTTTTTTTTTTTTTTCAGCTCTGGGTTCAGATTTGGGGTGCTCTAGCCAATAGCAGAGCAGAAACTACTAGTGGGGATTCAAGTAGATAGTACAGCCCCATCTGATTGGTCAAATTGAGATAAACAACCAATGCATAAAATAAGTGTAATATTTATAATAAAGTTCTGGTGCTGTCCATGTCATTATACAGGTTTGTGTTGTTGGTTGGTTGTGTGAGTTGATGTAGGTGTGTGTGTGTGTGTTTGCTCAGGTAAAGGTGAAACGGCTGCTAACGGTCTGGAGAGCGCACATCTGACCTGTCCTGCTCCGTCTTCTCCATCATTGAGCTCCAATCCTCCAGATGGTACAGTTCCTCCACCTGCAGCCGAGCCTCCAGCATCCACTGAGCAGAGCGACACTACTAGCGACACACAGAACACCGACGCACTGCCTGCTGGGTAAAACACTGCATTCACACTGCACATCAATCAATCAACCTGGCGACACGGTGGCTCAGTGGTTAGCGTTGTCCCAGCTAGGTCTGTTGGCATTTCTGTGTGAAGTTTGCATGTTCTCCCCGTGTTTTAATTATGGTATTGGATTAAGTAATTAAATTACTTTTCATAGATGGTAATTAGAAAGGTTATTTGCAAATTTACAATTTTAATTAGAAATTATTTTCTCTGCCGACACATGCGGACTCTGTTTGCTCATTGTATTTCTCTCCTACAGGTGGGAGCAGAGAATTCTTCCTCACGGACGAGTGTATTATGTGGATCACAACACAAAGACCACCACATGGGAGAGACCCCTGCCACCAGGGTGTGTATTTGATGTTTCACATGCTAACAGGGTATTTTGCACATTAAACGATTAACATGTTACGATAAAACAATAATAATAATAATAATAATAATAATAATAAAAGTATATTTAAAGATCAACGTCTTACGATAACAAAAAATTATAATAAATGAAAATATATTTAACGATCAACATGTTACGATAAAATAATAATAATAATAATAAAAGTATATTTAAAGATCAACGTGTTACGATAAATTATTATAATAAATAAAAAAATATTTAAAGATCAACGTGTTACTATAAAAAAATAATTATAATAAATAAAAATATATTTAACGATCAACATGTTACGATAAAATAATAATAATAATAATAATAAAAGTATATTTAACGATCAATGTTATGATAAAATAATAATAAAGTATATTTAACAATCAACATGTTACGATAAAATATTAATAATAATAAATAAAAATATATTTAGCGATCATGTTACGATAAAATTATATTTATAATAAATATAATTAACAAGTGGAGGAGGCGGGGTTTGACTTGCGTACTGCAGCCAGCCCCTAGGGGGCAATCAAACAGCCGGGAGCATCACTCAAAAGACGGCATGAGGCACACCGGGTTGTGCTTTGTTTATCCGCTTGTTAAATGTGACGTCACGCGAAGCGGCTTCCGGGTTCAAGCGGTCTATTGAATTGAATGAGGAGACTCGTAAAATGGTAATAATAAACGTGTGCAAAGGGCTTTAATGTGACCAGAAATCATGATCGCAATATATATGTCCATTCCTAATATCCGATGGTCAAAGTGATTCATTCTTTTATAAATTGTTAATTTTGGTATTTCTTATGCAGCAAGCCCAGAGATTGTTGTGTACACTATGACGTTATATAAAATTAACTTTAATATGTGATATGAATAAAAAGTGATCATAAACAAATAATTTCTCAACTCAAATGAGTGGCAGCTTGGACCCGGAAACAGTATTACATACGTCACCAACACGTCACCACTTAACAAGCGAATTAAAAACTAGCCTAGAACGCCACCTGCTGTTAAAAACTAGCCTAGAGTGCAGTCTGGTGTTAAACTTGCCTAAGGTGCCATCTGTGGTTAAAATAAATTAGCCTAGAGAATCAGTTCTGTATTAATCTCGAAACAATTTCTGGCTCTATCCTATTGTTATTATATTAATACGGCCATTGCTACAGCTTTATGGTTATTGTGTAGTCAGATATTTCTCAGACACTCAGCACAGATTTCACGTGGGCATTATTAGCAAAGCCTAAGATGCATTGGAAAATCTCACCAGGACCTCCAAACACATTTTTATGCCCCTCACATGCTGGCCCAGGATGCTAAATGTCACTACTAGCGTCACCAACGGGAAAAGCTAAAATAATTAACTTTTCAAACAAGCTGTCCAAGCACAACAAAGTCTAGCACGCTGAAAAAATCCGTCAGATCCTGTTGATCATAAAGTGTAGTTTACTGCTGAACAACTTTTGTTGTGGTAAAATAACACCGAAATCGAACATTGATGCTTGAATCTCCTCCTGAAGCTCCGACGGTGTACTTGGAGAATCTGCCAATCGGAACTGTCAATCATGTTGCATGCACCGTTTGTATAGCATTAAATAACTGGGTAAAAATATACAGTTTACAAAAAAGAACATCTGATCCTAGATCAGCTTGATAACCAGTGTTCAATTTAACAAAGCTATCTTATAAGATATTGCAAGTGTAATATTTTATTTTTATTTGG